GAAAATGGAAAGGATTCTGGACATGTTTGCTGTGGTGCTTTTGCAAACAGACTGCAGATCCCCAACAGAAAGATTCCCTTCCCCTCCCAACTATTTGGGGGTTTATAATTTAACGTTCTTTTATTATTTCAATCAGCAGTCTTTTTAAAAAGGGTGGGATGAAAATTTTTTTTTTTTTAAATGGGGTATAATGGCCACATTGTGGGGAAAAACTGAAGGAAAAGATTTGGACTGGTGGATGGATGATGGAAAGCCCTGAAGGACGACCCCAACTATAATAATGCTCCACCAAAATATCATTAAAATTAAGTAATGTTTTCTTTCAATCTTCAATTATCTGGGATATACAACTTAGAGAAAACTGATACATATCTTCTACTGGTTGCAATCAGAAGATGTTCAGTATATGCTTTAATTAATTGTGAGACATTGCAATCAAATTTACAGTGGAAATAAAAAGATGTGGAGATGAAAATGCACAGGTAAAAAGGTGGAAATTCAAAACAACTTAATTAAAATAAATTATGCAATTTTAAATTCAAGTGATGTAAGTATGTTATAGATGTTTTGTTTTGCCTGACAAGGTTTATCAGGATGGTGAAAAATTTACTTCAAAGTATTCAAGCTTATTTTATCTTATGTTTTGACATTAATTCTGAGAAAAAACTGTTTGGAAATGATTGAAAGCAGCAGTTGTGACTGCACAAGCAGAAACATGCAAACTTTCTCACATCTTACCTTGCCAACTCATTCATGGCAACACAGTGTGACTTTTTTTACAATCTCTCTTACAGAATGGCTGTTACTAGCTGTATAATTGAGCCGCATCATGACAAAACCAACATAATGTGTTTGCGACCAGCATGGATCAAGACCAGCCTGCGCATCGCGCAGTCTGATCAGGATCCATGCTGTTCACTTACAAACCCTATAACAAGCACAGAAACTGATAGCGAACAGCATGGATCCTGATCAGACAGCGCGGATGCGCAGGCTGGTCTGGATCCATGCTGGTCGCAAACGCATTACGTTGGTTTTGTCGTGACGCAGCTCATATATGTCTTCATACCTACCATTCATCCCCATTACCCCATTTTCTTCAATTTAGGAGCTCATATCTATTTCTAGATTTCCATCAAACTAAATTATCATAGAACCTTAGGCCAACTGTTTATTAACTCAGTATTAAACTTAAAGTTGCATTATTGATATTTCACAGCTGTAACTGTGTAACTGTTTAATATATAAAATGTTATATCACCATTAGTAATTCTATATGTCAATATTGCCCAGTTACTTTAGTTTATTACCTTAATCATACATTATAACTAAGTATTTATACCACAGCACAACAAATGATTTCCAGATCAACTATTTTATCATGTTCTATGACTTGTCTTATCCTAGTTTTTTAACTGTCATATACAAATATGCCACTTTTTGATAATAAATAATATCATTAGCAATAGTTTGATGCAATACTGAGCTACACTTTAACATACTGCAATAGTCTGGTGCAATATATTTCACTCCACAACATAGTGCAGCAATAGTTAGTTGCATTTAATATTTCGCAGCACTTAATTATGCTGCAATAGTTTGATACAATATTTCACTGTACTTTATTTTGCTGCAATAGTTTGGTGCAATATTTCACTACATATTGTCACTTGCTGCAAAGGTTTGGTGAAATTTTTCATTACACATCAATCTGCAATAGTTTGTTGCAATATTTCACTATAATTATATGCTGCAATAGTTTGGTGCAGTATGTCACTATATATTGCCACAATGCTGCAATAGATTGGTGCAATATTTCACTACATATTGCCATAATGCTGCAATAGTTTGGTGCAATAATTCACTATATATTGCCACAATGCTGCAATAGTTTGTTGCAATATTTCACTACAAATGCTGCAATAGATTGGTTCCATATGTCACTATATATTAACTGCCACAATGCTGCAATAGTTTGGTGCAATATTTCACTATATATTGCCATAATGCTGCAATAGATTGGTGCAATATTTCACTACATATTGCCATAATGCTGCAATAGTTTGGTGCAATATTTCACTATATATTGCCATAATGATGCAATAGTTTGGTGCAATATTTCACTATATATATTGCCACAATGCTGCAATATTTCACTTTATATTAATTGCCACAATGCTGCAATAGTTTGGTGCAATGTTCAATACACAATGTCATATGCTGCAATAGTTTGGTGCAATATTTCATTATATAATGGCATATGCTGCAATAGTTTGGTGCAATATTTCATTTCTTAATATCATATGTTGGAAATGATTTGGTGCAATGTTTCACTTCACATTATCACACTGCACTACACAAAGTTTGGTGCAATATTTCACTACATATTGTCATATGCTACAATAGTTTGGTGCAATATTTCACTATATATTGACATAATGCTGCAATAGTTTGGTGCAATATTTCACTATATATTGCCACAATACTGCAATAGTTTGGTGCAATATTTCACTACATATGCTGCAATAGATTTGTTCAATATGTCACTATATATATATATTGCCACAATGCTGCAATAGTTTGGTGCAATTTTCATATTTTAATGTCATATGCTGCAACAGTTTGGTGCAATATTTCATTACTTAATGTCATATGCTGCAATAGTTTGGTGCAATATTTCATTACATAATGTCATATGCTGCAATAGTTTGGTGCAATATTTCATTACATAATGTCATATGCTGCAATAGTTTGGTGCAATATTTCATTACATAATGTCATATGCTGCAATAGTTTGGTGCAATATTTCATTATATAATATCATATGCTGCAATAGTTTGGTGCAATATTTCACTACATATGCTGCAATAGATTGGTTCAATATGTCACTATATATTAATTGCCACAATGCTGCAATAGTTTGGTGCAATTTTCAATACACAATATCATATGCTGCAATAGTTTGGTGCAATATTTCATTATATAATGTCATATACTGCAATAGTTTGGTGCAATATTTCATTACATAATATCATATGCTGCAATAGTTTGGTGCAATATTTCATTATATAATGTCATATGCTGCAATAGTTTGGTGCAATATTTCATTATATAATGTCATATACTGCAATAGTTTGGTGCAATATTTCATTATATAATGTCATATGCTGCAATAGTTTGGTGCAATATTTCATTATATAATGTCATATGCTGCAATAGTTTGGTGCAATATTTCATTATATAATGTCATATACTGCAATAGTTTGGTGCAATATTTCATTACATAATATCATATGCTGCAATATTTGGTGCAATATTTCACTACATATGCTGCAATAGATTGGTTCAATATGTCACTATATATTAATTGCCACAATGCTGCAATAGTTTGGTGCAATTTTCATTATATAATGACATATGCTGCAATAGTTTGGTGCAATATTTCATTACTTAATGTCATATGTGCAATAGTTTGGTGCAATATTTCATTACATAATGTCATATGCTGCAACAGTTTGGTGCAATATTTCATTACATAATGTCATATGCTGCAATAGTTTGGTGCAATATTTCATTACTTAATGTCTTTATGCTGCAATAGTTTGGTGCAATATTTCATTACTTAATGCCATATGTTGGAAATGACTTGGTGCAATGTTTCACTTCACATACACATAGTTTGGGGCAATATTTCACTACATAATGTCATAGGTTACAATGGTCTGTTGCAATATTTCACTGCACATTATCATGCTGCAATAGTTTGGTGCAATATCATTTTATCACTACCATTTTAACTGCCATATTAAATGTACAGTGCATTAATAATACTAAAAGTTTTATAGTTGAATATATGGTGCAACATGACCATTTTATATCATGAAATTGTATGAAGTCTTTAAGATGCATTTATATGCTGCAAATATTCCTGTGCTTTATGTACAATTATTAATTATGTTTCTTATAATGTATGTTTTAATTACTTTTGAAACATTACATTCTGTATTAAACTTATCATTAAAACACAGGTCATGTTGCATTAACACAGGTCATGTTGCATTAACACAGGTCGCGATGCATTAAAACAGCTGTTAATTTGTGATAAAAAAGAACAAGTTGATCTGATATTATTTTCAATATAACCTGTACAATTTACAAGACTGTAGGAAAACTAGAAGACTTACAATCAATGAAGTTTGCATACTACATGTCTGCTGGTACAAGTAAAACTAATTTTGTCTGGGAATTTTACTAATGGGTAAAAGGAAAATTTAAGTGAGTTGAGAAAGTAAATCAAATACACTGAATGTAAGCCTGAAAGCTTGAGCTGTTTATATTCCCCCTGGCAACCTATCAATAAATGTTAGATGTTTAGAAACTAAGACCTTGGCTTTAAGTTTTAATTGCTTAGGATGTCTTCATCTTAACAAGATTTGTCAGACTACACAATAATAATTGTTGTGATGACTGTAATATGGTCAATAATTTACAACGCAATTATCAGTGAAATGTTAGACCCCATACAATACTGATATTAAGTGATATAGAACAACTTTAAAGAAACATTTCACAAGGTGCTGCTTCAGCAAAAAAAAATATATTATTTTCATGAGTGGCATACAATTGCCTTTTTAAATAGCTGAGGGTTAATGCACCTTTTTTATGCATCAACATCTGCAGATATACAAGGATGCTTTTAAAGCCTAAGCCCACAGAATGAGGGATTAAACATGCGAGTGCAATGTCATTTGACAGTTATATTTTGATAATGAAACAAACAGGGTGGTCATTGCAGTAAGTTATTTTAACATGGCTCCCCAAGTCACACATATTAAACAAAACACGCAACAGCAGCATGTGACTTTATCCATTAATGTGTATTTTCTTCTGCATCAATGTATATGCAAGAACATCTTAAAAAGTTATAATCCACTTATGATAAATAAATAAATATGCATTATTTCATTGATTCTGCAAGCCATCAATCATTGAAAGTCCCCGTCCCTAGATTTGCCACTACTTGCCAGCTATTTCCACTGAAAAGGGTGGCATTTAGTGTAAAAAAGGTGGCATTAACTGGAAAATGACAAAATTCCACTCTTTTTCCACTGTAGTGGCAAATTTACCACCAAATGCCACTATCCTTTGGTGGCATTTAGGTGGTAATTGAGTGGAAACTTGAACATAGACTTTTGTCATGGTGGCAAAAGGGTGGAAATTGGTGGAAAATGAAACTTAGTTTATTTTGAAGGTGGAAAATGAGTGGCTTTTAGTGGAAAAGTGAAACTCTAACTATTTTCTGGGTGGCAAATTAGTGTAAAAAAACTTAGAAAATTTTGCGAGTAACTTTTAGTCAAAAAGCAGAAGAGCAGGAAAAATTAGAAAAGTATTGGGGTAATTTTCCATATTTTAAGGCAGTACTTTTCTTTATAGATGTAAAATTTGACTTAGAGTCAAAAATGCCTATGTTCCATTCTACCCTTGTAAAATAAATTTACGGCTGTAAAAGTGTACTTAGATTTTTTAGTTGCAATCTGTACATTAAAAAGTTGTCATGTTATTCTTTGCCCAGAAAATGCATTTTTTCTGCTTCTCCTATGATATTTAATGTCAATCTTGAATAAAGTTAGACTTTGATCTTTTCCTCTAATTGAGATTTAATTGTCTCTTTAATATTAGTTTAAACTGATATCTGGTGAGTACTGACACTTTTCATGATATGCTAACAATGATTTAAGTGAGAAATGCAAAGGGCAATAACTCCAAAATTATGCAAAAGAGTTATGGTTCTTAAACACTGTACATTACTCAAAAAGATCTATATCTATGAAGTTTCAAATTAATATCTCCAATACTTTTTAAGCATAATAATCAAGACAAAAATTAAGCATGGAGAAGTAACAAAATGGCAATAAACCCAGGATCATGCAAAAAAGAGTCATGGTTCCTAGGCATTGCACTTCTCATAAATGAGATCTACTTAAATGTGGAGTTTAAAATTATTGTCTCTAAAACTTTTTGTGCTATGCTTTGCAGACGAAAACTTACAAAGGGCAATAACTTCATAACATTGCAGGAGAAAGTTATTTTTAAGAAGAAAAAAACATGAATCAAACTTGTTAACAATAATATTTAAATGCTATTTAATAAGTATACATATATAATAGCTCAGCCTTCAAGATAATGATACATTAAGCATACATTTAATACCTCACTCTACCAAGTCTGTGTATGAAAATAAGTCATACACAATTTAGTATGTCTTTCAGAGGCTTTAAATCTATTGTAAAAATAATTGTGTGAAAAATAAATTGCTCATAATGCCTGATAATTTCTTATAATCAGGTTAAGTAAAGTAAATACTAGCTAGGAAATACTGCATCCACTAAGATTTAACAACACACACATACATTACAGATCTGATAAAACTACTGCCCTCTTATCTTATAATCTATGCATTGGGGTTAATAGTTTACTCATGCTGACCAGACTGTTCCATTTGATTATTTTGGGAAAGGCAACATTATACATGTTATATGTAGAATCTGTGTTAAAATAGCATGCTAAATTATCTTTCAAAAATTTATTTCTACTCAATCTATGTAGGTATAAGACATAGTTTATACATTCAAATGAATGTAAAAAATAAAATGATGGGTGCTATGGTTTTTGGATAATACCTCACAGTTTAAAATTATAATGGAACTGTCCATGGCAGTTATACAGTTGTAAAGTTTGAATTCAAAGGAATTCAGGTCAGTTAGCATGCAAACACAAAGGAAATGATTGATATTGTAGCAATTATGGAGATATCTTTTTTAAATGTAAGGGTGCATATATTTGACTTCTCAAAGAAAACATTAAAAGTCTTAATAGTGTAGTAATTAGAAATGAGAAGTTTTAACTGAGGCGTGAATGTGTAGATTAAAACATGGGACAAGAATATAAACAGCAGAATCATTCCAAGTCAAAGTCTCAGGTAAACAACTTTTACATACATTTATGCAGAAACAGTTAAGCTTTTTAACAAAAAAATATGAAGTGTTATTGTATAAAATTAGGTTTTAAATTTGTTTTTTTTTCAACTTGACTATTTCAAACAGAAAGCTGCATGTATATATAAAGAATGTTACGTGGGAAGATCTTGACTTTATCATGATTTCTTAAATAAAGAATGTTAGAAATTTTAAGTTTGAGAAAAAAAATGATAGAAATTAATCAGTAAGTACAATATCATTATGTATAATATTACATAAATCAAACTATAGATAACCAGGTACTTATATTACTACAACTTTCATGCTATAAACATTTTTCATGTGTGTCACATGTAGAGCAGATCAACATTAACTGTTTAATTAGTAAGTTTCATTCCTTCAGTATTGTAATTCAGCTTTCATGGTGCAGAAGATATATAACCATAACTAGACAGTCTAAAGTAACAAGCTGTTTAGGAGAATAGCAGCTCATGAAACACAATTATTCTTTTGCAGTGACAAAGCAATGAGGAGCTGCCTGGAGCAATGCACATGTTCTTCAGTGACTTTACAAAGGTATCTTGTTAATTCAAAGTTATTTTAGAATTGATAGAAAAGAAATGTCATAGTACCCAATAAGACTCTTACCAGTTCTTAATAGATATAGATAATTAAGTCACTATTTATAAACCTACTTTTATTTAAACACTTTATAACACTTTATTTGCTTTTAGATTTATTTTACAAATTTTACTGTTTTTAATTGTACACGTTAGCTCAAAAATTTTGTAAAATATTTATCCTGATGAAGGTTCGTTAAGAACCGAAACCGGTAGATTATTAAATTACTCAACAACGTGTTGTATTTCTTTCTTTTTTATTTTGAAATTTTAGAGTTGAACACATATTATTAAGATTTTATAAAAGTGTTTCATTTTCTGTATTACTAATTGGATATTGATAATCATATTTTAGGACCCAGTGATGGCAGAACTGAGGCACTATGCCTCACCTGAGAAGGGTACAACAAGGTTCTTCAGAATTCTTTTCAATATAGAAGAGATTAAAGGCCGCTCATAGTTTGGTATGAGGAAAAGGAAGAGAGAATCTGACGCTAGGCCTGCTCGTGCAGACAAAGCAAAACTTAAGTTCTTGGAAGGTAACTTATGAACTGAATAAAAATATCATTTTTGATTCTGGGTATATTTTCTACCTTGAAGTAAATTAGAAAAGTCTGACATAATTCTTCCATGTCAGCAATGCTGTTTTGTTAAAGTGCTTTAATCATATCTATGCACTCAACTTGAATATAGAAATATCCAATAGTCATATAAAAATGTAAACTAATGCTTTAAATTATTGTATTAATCATATTTTTTTGTTTTAGATTGTGTGCTGGAAAAGTGGCCAACAACCCCAGGAATTGAAATCTGGAGGGTGATTCGGCACCTCCTCAAACCATCCAGGAATAGCTAAACTGAAGAAAATAAATGGACTCATATTTTGTTATTTTTTGTGACAAAATTTCCCAATGGAGACAATAAAAATGATTATTTTTAAAAGTTTGTTTTGTTTGTCTTTTAGGGTACAGGGTGCCTTTCAACAAGTTTCCAGCTATTGCCACCCACAAGGTGGAAAATTTCTCAAAGGGTGAAAATAGGTGGCATTTCGTGGAAACTGAATTTGCCACTTTCTGGTGGAAAAGTGTCTAAATACTCCACAAACTTTCCACCCTAATGTTGGTAAAAGGTGCAAATAAGTGGCATTTTGTGGAAAATGAGTTTGCCACTCAATGGTGGCATAATGGTGGAAATTTGTCTAAATACTCCACCATCTTTCCACCATGTTGGTGGCAATTAGTGGAAACAAGTGGCATCTAGTGGAAAATGAGTTTTCCACCCTAAGGTGGCATAATGGTGAAAGTTTGTCTAAATACTCCACCAACTTTCCACTCATTGGTGGCATTAAGTGTAAAAAAGGTGGAATTAACTGGAAAATTATATACCATCAGTCCTGCTCAAATTTTTCACCATTTTCATGATTTGGGTGGCATTTTGGTGGCATTATTGGTGGAAAATTGTCTAAATACTCCACCATTCAAAAGGGTGGCATTTTAGTGGCAAATCTAGGGACGGGTCATTGCAAGGTGAAATTTAGGGCGATTACTTTTCCTTCTGATACTAACTTTTTTACTTTGATATATTATGATGAAAACACAAACCATCTTAAAGGTCAAAGGTGAAATCTTCAACTGAATACCTTTATAATATACGAAAGATTTAAAATAATTCATCAAATTGATATTGATGATTTATAAAGCATTCAACAAACTGAAAAATAAAATCACATGGGGATCATTACTGGCGCTTAATTTATTTTTTTATGCTCAAATTCACAGTAACCCTAAAAAATAGAATATGAGGTTAGAGTAAATGATAGAAGTGGGGGTCACAGTAAATAAAAGTGAATATCATGCTGACATAATGAATCTTGTAAGCCCTATTAACATTCATTATACATACATTTTATGCTTAGATGACATTTTCTGGCTTATTTATTTGTAAAAACTGCGATCTTGACATTAATTATTACAATAAATATGCCGACAAAAGAAATAGAAATAATTGCTGATACAGGTCATTAGATAGGGTTATATTTTTTGCTAACAAAGAGCAATATTTTTTGCAGTAGTAACTGTCAACGTGCAAGGATACATGGGTGTACCTGTCTACAGGTACAAGAGGATCACTCATCTTAAATGTTTCACAAAAACTGAATTCCTCTTCTGATGTTTTGTTCATTTGCCTCATATATAAGAAAAAGATCTGTTTCTATAAAGGTGTTTTTTTTCCCTACATCAAATTTATAATTTGTCAAGCTTTGACATATCCTGGAGGTGACATTTTGATTCATATGGAGTCAAAAAACTTAACAAACTGAGGTCTACTTGAGGGCAAAACCGAATTTAACCTTAAGGAAATGATTCATTGATCAGCAGATCAGCTGATTTTGTCACAAATATAAAGCGATCTATTTCTATCAGCTGATTTCATGTGTATAATAAATAAAACTAAATCAAAGAGCAAACAGTTTAAGGCAACATCTATTATAGCGGTTTAAAGGTAATTTAAAACATTTGATCTTTATTTTATCATAAAGGTAACAAAATTTTGTGTATTGCAATAGGCGGCTTATGTCAGCCAGCTATAAAATATAAATTGCTTACTTTGCAAACATTACTCAACAAAAATTGTTCACTTTTTTAGCCTGTACTACAAATCAAAAATAAATTTAAATAATCTAGATATTTAAACCAAAGTTTTTCTTTGTGCCAGTAAGACATCATTAAACAGTATACAAATAAAATACCAGGTTCAGTCTTACTTTAGCTAAGTATAAAATTGCATTAATTTTAGCATAAAAGATGAAAATGATATGCAAATCCAGAAAAGAATAAGGTGCGATGATTTTAATGATTTGTAAGTGCCTTTTTATTGTAAGAATATTTGTTTTAAATCTCTACTTTATTTAGCCATAATAAGCTAAAATGGTTTGCTTTTTTTTATCTCATTTTTAAGTACAATTCAGCTGTTTAAACTAAGATTGTTGGTGTCATAATCATTTCAGTAATTTCAAAACAGTAACCAAGAATGACCTATAACTTTTAAAAGTTAACAATGAAATTACACTTGCTTCACCTCTTTAACATCACTGACTGACCAATTAGTAAGACACTGTTTGACCGGTGAATGTTACAACATTTCTTACATACAATACAGTTAGTCCAACTGCTAGATAAGTTATAATGCTGACAGGCAGATTCCTAGTAAGCTTACTGTAACATGGTACAACCATCATATATAATATTAACTCCTTGACTAAGTGATGATGATGATGATGAGGATGATGATGATGATGATGATGCTGATGCTGATGATGGTGATTATGATGATGATGATGAAGATGAAGATAATGATGATGATAATGATGATGATGATGATGATGATGATGATGATGATGATGATGATGATGGGTGATGATGATGGGTGATGATAATGGTGGTAATAAGTAATAGAAAGAGCACCAAAACACGAGGGTATCTGATTTGTACGAGGGGGCGAAGCCCCCATAGTATTAATCAGATTGCCGAGTGTTTTGGTGTTCTTTCTCTTTTGTATCAGTCAAACATAAAAACATGTTCCCTGTTGTCACAATATGAAACCCCGGCAAAAATGAACCAATGAACGAACATCTGAATATGACATTTCTGTCGCTTTCCCTTTCTCTGCCGTCACAATATGTAAACCCCAGCAAAAATGAGCCAATCAATGGGCATGTTCTGGAGTGCGGGTTACTAATACCTGCACTCCAGTTCATGCACTGTTCATGCATATGTTTACGATTTAACCCTGACACATTTTCAACAAAAAGGTCTCCAAACTATGATACAATTATAGTAGTAACACAGAACAAAAATCATGTACAATGTTAACTCCATCAGTAATAATGATGAATGGCAATAATCATAATGACAATGTCTACAGTGACAATGGTAATGCCACCAGTGACCTGTTAGTTGCACATAGCCTTACCACTAACAGTTCCAAATTTACCTCAAAAAAAGTTCATATAATAATTTTAGATTGGAAAGGAATAATTTTTGCTTTATGTCACTGAAAGGCTGTCATGACATCAATTGTTGTAGGGTCACTTCTCCTCAAGTACATTAAATGTAGAGCAGTGTAACCTAACACTTGAGATAATGTTAAATAGTTTAAAATTTCAAATCTTTTACATGAATTGTCATCTACAAGACACACTTTGTATTATTTTTAACATAGTATTTTTGCACTGAAATGTTATCCAATACTTGTTTATTTCTATTTTAATGGACGAAATAATACCTAAGAAAAAAAGTCTGCATTTTTTCCTGGAAATCACGGACAAAGATTGCAGCTAAAATTAGCCAATCTTACAAAATTTACTAAAGAAAGAAGAAATTTAACAAAATCAAGAAAACATACAACCATGATAAAGATCAGGAAATAAAATATATTACCGCTTCTCTTAAGTAATAATAAAAATAACATTGTGTTTTATGACACAGTGAAAAACTAAGAAAAGCTGTATTGTATTCTCATGTTGCTTTGTGTGGACAATTAACAATCTATACAGTAAACCACATTAATTAAGTGATTTGTAACATTTCTTAGTAAAAGTACTCAAATTATAGAACTTTTAACTTAGAAAATGTTAGAAATTACTATGCCATCACAGTGAAAGTGTCCAGTCCACAATAAGCAGAAAATGCTTATAAATGTTTGTGGTATGCTAGAAATATCTTAGAATATAACATTTTTATTAACATAAACATTTTCATCTAAAATTCATTGACTTTTCATATTATACACTCATTTACTTTCCATGATCTTTGTATTCAGCGTACACATTCAATCTAAATATATACATGTTACCATGCACATTTTATAAGTGTAGTGAAATGACCACTGACCAGTGGTGTATTGACAAGGTCAGTTGAGCAGTATTCCTCATTAACCTACCTACAAATTAGTGGACATTCAATAAAGGCAGTCTATATTATAACCCTGTGAGGCCTACAGAGTCATTACTGTCAAGGTTTTACTTCATTTTCTTATCATTCAACTAGGCATCTATCATTTTCAAGTGACAATTTCAAAAAAATCTTTACGAACATGTGATAGGTCTTAAAAATTAAAGTTCACTGGAAAGTAGAAAATATTTTGGGAATAAATTACAGTTCATTTTCAATATACAAATGTATGTTTAAATTACTTCCATAAAAAATGTGCAACCCAACTGAGTATTATCTAAAAATCTGTATGTAATAGAAACAGATGCCTTCAATTTGAAACTTACATCATATTATGGTAATTTTATAAATTTATTAAACTAAATAAATTTAATCTTTATGGGTAAATAATGTTGTCTGATTTCCCTAATGTCAATAATTACATTTAATTTCCACATACAGAGGAATCCTTGTACATCAACATATCTCTGTGCATAAAAAACAAGGGATGGACGGACGCTCATTAATTTAAGTAGACTGACTGAAGAAGAATAATTATTACTCTCTTTTGTCTTATGAGAACAATGACAACAAATTGGTTTGAGAACAAAAATCTCCCACACAAAGTTCATCTAGAGTAAATTACATGTACAACAGTACACTATTCTGACCGCTACATGTAACTTATGATTCACCTGAACAAGAGTTTTTACAATCTGTGAACAAATATCAATAAACATATATACCTTTAGGTCATCTAGAAGACATTTGCTTTTGTCTCTAATGTCTTTGAACGGACATCCACATACTAGCCGTAAAAGATCAGGAACCCTTTCTTGCAGTTTAGCAATAGCAATGTTATTACCAACACCGTTCACACTTGCGATTGACTCTAGTGAATTAAAAGGTGTTGCATATCCTGTCAACCAGGTTTCAATCGTTCTGGTTGTGGCATCAAATGCATGTTTTCTTATGTTCTTGTCACGATTTGATATTGGATGAAGAAATCTTAATGAAGTCTCGTCTCTATATGTACCATCCATGAAAATGCTGCAAGATCCCAGACTCCTTTCCTCGTCCTTGATCAGTACCTGAAATATATAAACAGAGCTGATATACTCACTTCAAAAGTTAACATTGTTCCCTGGAATACTGCTTCTTGTTCTATTCTATATTCTAGTTGCGACATCATAATGATAAATGTTTAGTTTATAAAACAGTATTAATTTTAGCATGACTGTGAGGAAAGCTAGTATTATTTGTATTTGAACCACCCTTAAGTCTACTTCCCTAAATTAAACAGTACAGTGGTTGTATGAGTTACAGGGTTGTCATTAACATTTTTTGCAGAAGGTTTGTTTTGAACTTGAGGCGGTCATTTCTGTCTTTATCATGCATAACAAAGAGTGTTTTCTTAATTTTGAGGCGGCCCATAATGCATTTGAGACAGGCATTTTGGCCTCCTGCCGCATCTTAATGACATCCCTGAGTTACATGGTCATGACCCAAATAGGGCTTGAACCCACAATCCTTGGACTAAGAGACAAATACCATAACCACTTACACACTGCTACTCTTACTAACATTAAGGAATATAACATAATAATTGTCTATGTTTTATTATGCACACCATCATTAGCAATTTTTAGACCATGATGTGTAAAATATATATATACACTGCATATAAGAAAATATTAAACGGTGAACATATGTATATTATAAGCAAGTTAAAACTATCAACTTTGAGCAAACATATCAAAATTCATATCCACATATTCTTAAAGACCTCTGAGGAGAGCTTATAAGTGTCCAAAATCACATTTAAAAAGAATCAGGACTTACTTCAATTTTCACAATTTAAATGGTAACCATGGTAACATATTATTTCAACAAATTAAAATATATGGTACAAGGACACAATCCAAGGTGATTTTTATATCTTATTATCATGACTATATTGCATCTTGCATAATTGTTTAAAACCTGTCACACAAGAGTGGTGTTATCAGGGCGTCCTAGAAAAATAAAGAACAATTGTGAGTACAGTATGATTGCAAACATCACTGCACAGAATGACGACTTTGCACAATAAAACCTATGTCACACCAGAGTGGGGTTATCAGGACGTCCTACCAAATAAAGAACAATAGTGAGTACAATATGATTGCAAGCATCACTGCAAAATGGCAGTGTCATGGCACAGAATGCCATTGATGGCAAAAACTATGAGCTGAGAAACAAATTGTCCACTTTGCATTCTGATAAGACAGCGGTTCGATTGCAGTAAGGTAGCTGCAGCGACACAGTAGGATCTACTTCAACACAGTGGGATCACCACGAGCACTCACAATGCATGCAGTACCAACCCTGAGATAGTTCATGGTGCATGAACTACATTCTCTGAGATGACTGCACTCTGATAACGCCATCAAATCTCTGTCTACACAAAAATCATCTGGGCTCTTGAAAATCTAACAACGCTTGGTCAATGCAATGGAAATGCTGTTTAGTGTGACAGGAGCTTAATTAAATAAGGTACTAGTTAATATAAGTTAACATTGATTTCAAATGTTGACTGTCATACAATAGAATTTATCAGAAACACAATGTTGATAAATGGATTTTAAGCACACACAGGTACATTTATATGTATCTTATGGTAATAACTGCTATATATACAGTCAATGCATTAACTGTTTAACTGTTTAAAGATATATACATGTATACCAGCTGATAAATCTTGTTAATTTACATGAACTAAAACAATGTGATGAGAATTTGATGAGAAACAGACTTACTTCCACATAAACTGATAAATTCCCCTCCGCAGCCCCAGATTCTTTCGCCTCTTTGAAATTATTTTTCAACACCAAATTCCTACTTAAAAACTATTAAAGGAAATAAATGACAACGTCGTGAAAACTGATTACGCCAGCGTTATAAACATACCTGAAAGAACAGCTGATCTCAATGTGGAGGTCAGGTATCCACAAAAGTCGGTTAGTAAATGCCGGAGGCTGATGCAACGAATTACACTAATATGTATATTTTTTCATGTCGTTAAATACTTTTACTGTGTTTTCTTAAGTTAGTTTACAATTTCGTCAACATTATTATTACAAAATATGCGGTATAATTCTAATTTATTGATCTCAAATCGTTGAAACTTTCCATGAGCTAACAGTATATACATGTACACGCATTTACATACGTCCCTGACCTCTTGTTTATTAAAATGAAGTAGACACACCTCCATGTTTATCCAATGAATAGTCACCACCTCTTTGAACCTGCGCTGCGAGAAATGAACACGGGTCTTTGTTCACATGCACTGTAAATATATGCAACAATGAAAGCATATTTCATACGAGTTCAAGTTTTGAGAAATGCACGGCAAAACAGTGATAAATGAAAATGTAAATGTGTGTGAGAAGCAGACTGAAAAAAGCAAAAGTAGAAATACTTTCTGTACATAAGATAAATTTAAATCAGTTTGCAACTGTTTTGCTTTTGCTTAAAGTTTTTAAAAAGCATTTATTTTTATTTACCTTCAGTACAGTACTGTTTCTTGTTTTGGTATGTGTTTGGTATTTTGGTATGTGTTTTGGTATTTTGTATTTTTTTTGTGTTGCTTTTTCAGCTTAAATCTAAATGCATAAACTTTTGACATTATTTTTCTATTTTTTTCCAGTATCATTTTCACCACAAACAGTCAACTATACACTTCAATAGTTCAGTTTGTTTAAGTAAGTGTAAAATAGAACACATTAAGACAGATTGGACACAAATACTATTAGATTTTTAAAATGCATTTTTAATTGTAGTCAAACTCGCTGTCTATTACTAAGGGTACCCTGCTGTGAGATAGACTTGTCATATCTTGCATTGAAACTGCTAGGAACAGTCATAGTTTAGGGATTTCAATGTTGATATAGTTACAAGGCATACAGTATTCTATATACCATAATCTCCGAATGGCCTGCAATTGGCATTCTTCTTATCAGTAGCAAATACCTGTTATATTAACTAAAGCCAGCAGTGGAACATACATATTATACATGTATAAGTTTTTTGTTTGTTTTTTTTCTGTTTTTTCTTTCAAAGATATTATTTTATTATTGGAAATTTTTCTTAAAATTTGTTAATGCTAGTTAGTTTCAGAAGGCCCAAATGTCACCATATAAATGCAGGTCACCTGGTGTGTATTTTCATCTAGTTAATTGTTCTTGTCTGTTTGCCAATTAGGGAATAAAAAAAACACACATAAAAGACACATGTTATTGTGGGTGTTTAAAGGCAGTTTTATTGCATTTGTAATCTATATAACATTTATGAATATTTTATATTATCACTGATTTATCAGATGTTCACAATAATTTCGATAGTTTATTAAAGCACCTGTAAACTTTTATTGTCTTCTAACATGTTTTCATTAAGCTCTAATATTTTACACAAATTAACACAATGTATACAAACAGTATTAATTAGCTAAGGATTTAATTTTTTTTTCTAAAAAAGCAAAGGCTATTTTTATAAATAAAAGGGAGGTAATCATGAATTCTAGTGAGCTGTTTTTAATAAAAGGGAGGTTATCATGAATTCTGATATGTAACTTTTTAAGTAGAATTTGCAACTGGATTAAAAGCCCTTTTATTCCTATGAAACTATTATAGCAAATGAAAAATGTCATCAACTTCCTTCACAATTTTCAAATTATTTATTAAAACTGCTATAAACATTTGTATAGAACTTACATTTTACCTCAAATATGATATTTTTTGATCTGTTCAATTATTTTCAATTTTTGTCTATTTTGATGTTTTGATTTTTTAAGCGTCCAAACATTTGGTTAAAAAGATAAAGTATGTATCCATACTAAACTAATGGTGTATAAATCATGTCTCCTCAATATGGCACCAATACTGGTTAGTTCAAGAGTGATGAAAATATTACTAAGCTTTATCACAAAAAAGCTAAAATAAATATGTTTAAACTCATTTTGTTCTTAAGACTGTATAAAAGTTTTCTCCCTTAGACTGTATGAAGAGTTTTGTTCTTAAGACTGTATGAGGAGTTTTGTTCTTAAGACTGTATAAAAGTTTTCTTCCTAAGACTGTATTAAGAGTTTTGCTCTTGAGACTGTATGAGGAGTTTTCTCCCTGAGACTGTTTCTTGAGACTGTATGAGACTTTTCTCCCTGAGACTATATGTGAGTTTTCTACCCTAAGACTGTATGAGGAGCTTTTGTCAATAAGACTGTACAAGACTTTCCTCCTTGAGACTATATGAGTTTTCTCCCTGAGACTGTATGAGTTTTCTCCCTGAGACTGTTTCTTGAGACTGTATGAGACTTTCCTCCCTGAGACTATATGTGAGTTTTCTACCCTAAGACTGTATGAGGAGCTTTTGTCAATGAGACTGTACGAGACTTTCCTCCCTGAGACTGTATGAGGAGCTTTTGTCAATGAGACTGTACAAGACTTTCCTCCCTGAGACTGTATGAGGAGCTTTTGTCAATGAGACTGTACGAGACTTTCCTCCCTGAGACTGTATGAGGAGTTTCTGACTATGAGACTGTATGAAATTTTCTCCCTGAGACTGTATGTAAGTTTTCTCCCCAAAGACTGTATACATATATGAATAAGACTGTATGAGACTTTTCTCCCTGAGATTGTATGTGAGTTTTCTCCCCTAAGACTGTATGAAGAGTTTTGTCTATGAGACTGTATTTGATCTTTTTATGATTCAACTTTGTTTTTTATTTTCAATTATCTTGGGTAAAATCCAATTCTTTGCATGAATTAATTTAATATTTGCCAAAGTTTTGTTTTTATGTTTTTTACCAATTTCTGTACTACATTTTCTTTCGTCTCACATGATTTTGTTATTTAGCTATTGAAGTATAAAAGAAAAAAAGATATGTAAACTTTTATGTGGTGCATACTCCAACAACAACAGTGTTGTTGATTTAAGGCTGCTTATACAAATATACCTTAACTGATAGTCAAACAAAAATTTAAGTACTAAATAAATCAAACTAAAAGTTGTTTCATTGATATTAAGTAATATTTATATTTAACCTATAAATAAGCAATATTGCTATTTCAGATGTTTTTATTCTGTGTTAACAGCAGATTAAGTACAAACATTGTTTCATGTTTATGTCAGCTTTGAAACAATGAACTTATATAGATGGTATCAGAACCTTTCTAGGTAATAAAAAACAAACATTTCTAGCAGAAAGACAAATTGTCTAAATCAAAGAGACCAAAATAGGATTCAATTAGTAGAAAATCCATTACTGGAACACTTTAACACAAGTGCTTTGTGGTTGTGTGGCAGTTATTGACAGACTATAGATTACCTTCAACATGTCATCTTACCGCTGGTTAATGTAAGAAATATCATCAATCTTTCTCTGAAGCATTGTTCTTGGAAGCTCTACATATATATTTTTCTTTGTTTCTTGATTGGGTTTTCAGTTCAAGCACTTAATAGAGTGACTTTTTATTTTTGCTGGTTTAAGAAATGAAAACGTTAGATACCTCTGCATCCTTCATTTCAATCACAAACAGACGTCCGAGTAGAACCATTCATTTATAGTCTATGTAATCTGAGAAGAACCCTTTATAGGCTATATAATCTGAGTAGAATCATTGATGATCTGTAAAATCTAAGTAGAACCACTTATGGTCTATATAATCTGGGTAAAACTATTGATTATCTGTAAAATCTGAGTAGAACCACTTATGGTCTATATAATCTGAGTAGAACCATTGATGATCTGTAAAATCTAAGTAAAAACACTTATGGTCTATATGATCTGAGCTAAGAAGCATTGATGCTATATAAAATCTGAGAAAAACCATTTATGGTCTATAAAATTTGAATACATCCATTGATGATGTATAAAATCTGAGTAGAACAATTGATTGTCTGTAAAATCTGAGTAAAACCATTTATAATCTTTAAAATCCGAGTAAAGCCATTGATGATCTATAAAATCTGAGTAGAACCATCTATAGTCTATATAATCTGAGTAGAACCACTGATGGTCTACATGTATATAATTGGAGAAACATTGATAATTTTTGAGACCGCAGGGTATTGGTACGCGTTTAACTTTTGAGGCATAGAGGAGCACGTGACCTGTTTTCAGTACATGGAGGAGCATGTGACCTGTTAACTGAATATGATTGGTTAATTGACCTTTTCGAAAACCCAGCTAAATACCTTTGCCGGTACGTTACTGATTTACCTGTTGGGAATTAGTCCGAATCATACCTAATTGACAGCAAAAAAAACTATTACATGATACTTCTAATTTTCTATAATTATTTTACTGTTTAAGGAGGAAAATACTTGAATGATGTGTTTGAAAATTATTAATTTTTCTTTAATATCTATCTCAAATTTTACAAACAATAAATTGTTTAAACTGAAAATCTACAAAATTAAGATATTCGTATTGGCATCTGCCATAATAAATAGAGACATTTTCTTTGAAACTTGTGTGTTTACTTTATTTATTTTTTGCTCGGAATTTTCATAAAATGGTAGGCATATTTAATCATTTTCTTAAAAAGAAATAATCAAAACATTGTCTCTGTGATGAAGGAGATAAAGTCACACTCGGACTACAAAAAAATTAAGCATTCATCAATCGAGGGTCATGAGTTTAATTCTATTATCAAAATTTAAGTAGCATTGAAATAGGCAATATGACCAAAAATAAGAAACAACAAACAATATTTTATGTTTTTTTTATTTTTTCAGAATGTAAAATTGCAGTTTTTCCCTGCAAACACCACCTCTATCCTCCAGCCGATGGATGCCGGCATAATTCAGACAACAAAGCTGAAGTACAGGAAGCGCCAGCTACAACATGTGCTCATAACTATGGAATAGAAACCTACTAAACTTGGACCAGTGATCTTGAGAGAAATTACAATTCTACAGGCCATCTACTGGATTTCTGCCGCATGGAAGGAAGTGGACTCTGATACAATTGTGATATGCTTCGCAAAGTGTGGGTTTACCCCAGAATGTGTTAGTGTTTCAGAGGATGATGAGGACAGTGACATCGAGGATGACACACCCATTGCCGTGTTGCATCTGGCCCTGGATTTATTTGATTATAACTTTAGGGAGCTTGTGGCCATAGATCTGAGTTTGCCACTTGTGACAATAACATGATGCAATGGGATCAAAGTGCTGTGGACATTATTAAGGAAATCACAACTGAAAAGGATAATGCCAGTGAGAGTGAGGATGACATTGAGGAACCTAATCCTAGTGTTGTAACAGTAAATGAAGTGTCTGAGTGTTTAAGTAAATTAAGACAGTTTGCTCTCATGAAAAATCAGTCTCCAATGTTAGACATGGTTATGAACTTTGAAGATATGTTTGTGAAAATGTGTGTGGAGGCAATTGAGGTCCAGAGCAAAATAAGTGACTTCTTCAGAGTGAAATAAAAGAGTGACTTTATATTGTGCCAAGTCTGTAAATGACTGAGACATTAAGTTGTGACCATAGGCGGCAACACTGAATAATGAACTTGTATTATATTATAGATATGTTATTTATCATACAATAGATAAAGCTTAAATAGATATGAATAAAAAATAATACAGTTGTTTTAAAGAAATCTTGTTCTGTTTTGTTTTGTTCTGTTCATGAAAAGCTTCAAACAAGTGATTGAAAAATAATGATGATAATGATTAAAAAATGATGATGATGATAAAAAAAAATGATGTGTTATGTATTCATAATAAAAATACATTTGATAAACACACAAACACATAAGTAGATGATAGTATAGCTTAATATTCATAAAGAAATAAAGATAATACATTTTGTATTTTGTAAAATAACTGACCCCCCATTCAGAAGCCACCTGTCTTAAGCAGCCAAAATGACTGCATCCCTTGGCTGGCTGCTGAAGACAGTTTCGACAGTAGTTAAATGAAATATCTTTATATCAATTAAAATGTTCACCACAGGAAACCATTTTACTTGTACACCAATTAAATGCAACCAGTATAAAAGCCCAGTGGAACCATTGATGATCTATCTTTAATTTACCTACAATACTGCAAACAGCAATACGAATATAAGCAAGGCATAAATTAAGTGTGTATATTATTCAATGTATATCAGAAAAAGTTAACTAGTGTTGAAATGAGCTTTATCATTTTTGAAGAATGTACTACAGCTGAAACCTACATTCATTATACTGGTATCTTCATTTACTTCCTTCATATCTTTTATTACACTGCAGATATCTGGCAAAGTTATCTTACTGATGGAAAGTTTTACCATTCTGTATATTACCATAGTAGCAAATCATTTTGGCACTGTTTAAAGACTTTTTTCACTAATTAACTAATGACATTTTTTCCTGTTCTCTTATGACTTGCTATAATGATTGTTCTAAATGACTGTACTGTATTATCATTATCCTGACTGTCTGATGCACTTGTAAAAAAAAGAATATTAGTAGAAGTGCATGCAATTGTACAATCTTTAAAATATTTGCTTAAAACTGCACCAGAATTGGGGAGAAAGTTTTCAAAATGTAAAGTGCAACATTTTACAAAATTAAATCACTTATGAATAGTTTATTGCTCTTTGCTGTAGTTTTTCATAGGACTGTACCATTTCTGTAGGGATTAATCAATAACTATATACTGGTGTAAAACCAGGTTTTGTGAAAATTCCTGTTTCAAAATGTTTTTTTCATCTTACCCGATAGTTAAAAGTATTTCTTACCATTGGGTTTATTGTTAATAATTGGTGTCCTCTATGTTGTTAATATTCTTTCAATAATACAAAATCAACAATTTTTACATAATTTGATTAATTTCACAACATTCAAAATAGTTCCTTATCAGACAATTTGTTTTTTTATATTATGTTTCATAAGACAAAACTCATGCTTATTCACATTGTTGTTTTGTAGTACTTGTCAAAAGGAGATCTGTTGTAATCGCATTTCTAACATCTGATTAAAATGAAAGAAATATTCATTGTTTATTATATGGGAGTTAAATAATTTCATTGTTTATTAAAATGGAGGTAAATAAAATTTAAAAACACAAACTTTTACAAGAACTTGTATGCTAAATCACTTTACAAAGACATTAATTACTCGCTAGATATAGTAATAACACTTTAATGCAACTTTAATCTTATTGTTATGAACTGTGAACATGTATCTACAATAGAGAATGTAATTTTATGCTGACGGCACAGACTAATTTCTACCTTACAACTACATTTTATGTTCCTACAGGTAAAAAATAAATTATGAAAGCAATTAAATGTGCAAACATAGCAGCTTCTTTCGAATTGTAATATTTTTATATATCTATTCATACTTGTATAGTGTGCTTTTAAATGTAAAAATGTCAATGGCACAGGTGTTTTGTTGCTTGCTACACAGGTCTAAAGTTATCACCTATCAAAGGCCTATTTTATCTCACTTATGTACTTTATTACTGCAGAATGATATACATGCCCAAAATGAAACTTAAAACTGCATGTCCCCCTATGAGCCAAAATAAATAAATTAAACTTGAAAAAAATGTACTAAGATTTTTAAAACAGTAAAAAGATTAAAGAGTATTGTTATTGTGATTAAGGACTGATTTTGCCATATTTATCACAATATTTTGCAGTATGCAGTCAGGGCTATTTTTACTAATTTTGACCTGTTTTTGGTAATTTGCATGGATTGCAAGTGCTGTTTGTAATGTGTAAATTATTTTTTTTTTGTTCACTTTATATTCTAAAATTTTTCATGAAAATGAGCATGAATCTGGAAGCATGCTGCTTTAATAATAAGCTACATTTCATTGACAAAATGAGTAATGGGAAATAATCTTGGATAAAAAAGATAACATTGACATTGCCTGTAATATAGAATGCTGATTTAGCTGTTTGCTGTACCAGTTATGTTTTATAAAAGTATGTTTAAATTTTTTGTAAGAGTTAAAACACATTAAGAGTGGCGGTGTGGCCTAGTGATTTAAGGACGTTTTCGGGAGTTTTCATATAGACATATAGGCAAAATTAACTGTTCAATAGAATTTCTTTAAACTTGGCATGTTGTTAGAATATGATAACAGAAACATTTTAAGCGGAAAAAAAATTGGGATCACTATTCTTGTTTTTGAATTATCTGCCCCTGAATCAGACTTTTCAACTTATTTGAGGTCATTTCAAGGGCAGATAACTTATACGTACTTCAATGAATTCTTGTGTTTACTTCAGGATTATGTTTTTCTTTTTATTGTTGATTACAATACATAATAATATATGGGAATAAAACTACCCACTCTAAATTTATTCTTGAAATTTTGCATATCAACTAAAACGAAGGTAAGTTTCATGCTAAGAATAACTAAAGAAACAGGTTACTAAGAATAATCTTTACTTTTTTAGTAAAAGTTATCACTAAAACACTCCAAATAATTTTAACAACCTTGCTTTTATTCCAGTTTCACAACATGAAAATCAAACACTGTATTAACAGTTAAAACAGTATAAATTATGTCTGATACTATAATATAAACTGGATAGCACAATCGAATGTTTATAAGAATATTCTACATGATGAATAAGTTAAGCAAAAAGGATGATGAAACCAATTTTTTGAACATGTATTTATAAATTTCCTCAATAAATACTTAAATGCATTAAATTTTTTTTGTCCTGCTGAAATAAATGATCAAAAACACTTCATAAGAAATGTTAAAATTGTAAGGAGCACAAAATCTTCTAATAAAAAAAAAGCTGCATACTCAAGATCAGTTTGAAATAACCATGGCTTAATTTATTACAAAATACAAGCTGGAGGTATGACCTTTGATCTATTAACAGTACTGGCTTTATGACCAAGTATGATTAAATAAACATATTCAAAACTATTGCTCTTATATGTATCCCTGACCTATAGATCCAAAATATCAAATGTAACCTGTTTACAGTCAATTCAGCAGAGATTATCTTTTAGAATCAAGGTCACAATGACCTTGAACTAGGTATAGTCAATTAAGGATATTCATTACATTTTAATTATCTATATTGCAAGTAGTCTACTTAACGAAATAAATTCTACAATACTCATGTCTCATTTTTGTAAGTTTCTACTCTGGGAATTGCATTAAGTATTCTATATGAGATTACATAAAAATCCATTGTCTACAGCTGGTAAGAGTGCAAGAAGTAAAACAGCTGGTATTAGAGTATAATGATCTAATGTCATACACCACGCTTACTAGGTTGGCAGTAGATAAACTATATGGTATACAAATATAAATTGATTATTGCTAAAGGACAAAATAAGTAAACCTCACTTTCCTAACAATACACATTCTACATAAATTCATCTTATTTAATCAATTGGATATAGAAATATAATTTAGCTCACATGATTAAATACAAATACACAACACAAAAATCTTATGTAAATTCAGAATATTTTAGCACTGGTTCTTCAATAAAATAAATTGTTTTATGCTTGCTGTGAAATGATAATTGACACCTCTGATTTATTAACAATGATAATATTTGTCAAAATGATTATTTGTTAAGTCTATTCAGATATATAATTACTTTGTCATGGAAAATAATGAAGTGAGGCATAGTTTATTACTTGGGTAAAACTTACTAAGGGGATTTCTTAGTTATAATTGCACTAAAGCAAAAACTCAAATCAAAATAAGTACAATATAAATAAACTTGACAAAGCAAAGTCAAAAGTTATGTTAATTCTGTAATACTGAATTCCTCACTCAGAGAACGTCACCTACTCAATGTCTAATACATATTTTTTCAAAGCATTTGGAAGTGGCAGCTGATCAACTGACACTGCCAGTCTTCTATTCATTGCTTTATGGATAGAAACTCTGCACATCTGCTTCAACGATCTGGGACGCTCAGACATTCCTGTCAACAGAGAAAGAAAACTCTTCCCTGTTGCTCCCATTGGATGAAATCTTGCCATGAAACTTGCTGTGGATAAACAATCATGAAGAACTTTATGATCCATTGTTTTGTAGAACAGTGACAGCAATTCTTCTGCATGACCAAGTTCAAAGATAGCTTGCAGCTCCTTTATTTCATGGATAAAATGGCTCATGGGTTGCGTACTCTGTTTCTTCAAAAATATTGAGCTTTGTGAATGACAGATGATAGGATCTGAAGGGTATGATTCAATATCTGGATCAGCTCCCCACTGCAATAAGGTACGCAGCCACATATGGATCATCTTAAAATCATCCCCATTTCTTGCACACACAGTCAAACGAACAAACTCAATTAATCCATTACCACTTCCTCCTGACAAATGGGGACTTTTCTTTGTTGTAGTGTAATTTGGATTGAGTCCATGCTTCAAAAACATAACTAGAATATTGTTGACTAGATCTGCGTATCTTTTCTTCAATTCAACATCCTGCTCTACATAGGCAACATTACGACCAGCTGGTCGCTTCAACATTTTCTTTGCTAGTTCAGCCAGGAGAGAACAACATGTTTTCTTGTCCTCAGATATATAATTACATTTAGCACCATTTTTCAAGAGAAGATCACAGGCTGTAAGAATGCTGTCACTCTGCTGTACAAGATCTGGAACTTCTGTATTCAGTAATGTTTGGATGAGGAGAATTAGTGGTGTATGACCTATTGCACACTGTGTATTGACTTCAGCACCATTTTCAATCAGGATTTCAATAGCTCTTGATAAGCTTGTAAAGTCATTCCTGTATACATATTTAGAATTGATACATCCCTGCACACATTCTAGTAAATCATGGGGTCGACTAGCTTTCATTGTAACATGAAGAAGTTTGTTTAATGGTTGAAGTTGAAGGGAATCAAAGATGAGTGGGTCAGCATTGAAACTTAGCAACAGCTTGATAGTCTGTATCACTTGTTCCTGGTAGTTTGGTTGCATCTGCCAGCGTGGCATTGACCTTTGTTGCGGATGGTAGTAGTTACCACCAATGTATGAAACATGAGTTACGAGCAGATGGAGGGCTGTTTCTCCTTTCAAGTTTATAGTATTAATTAGCTGTTCTATGCCTGTGGTGAGCAAGTATTTTGTTGTATCATAAATGGCAAAGATTCCATCAATATCATTCCTGTAGAGGCGATGCAAAGCTGTATCACCATTCACAGCCACTCTGTTCACATCTGCTCCATCATCAATCAATACTTTAGCGCACTGTCTCCCCCAAACAACAGCTTCTAATAGTGGTACATCTCCTGTTTTGCCCACATGATCAATTTTGTCAGGACAGCTTTTGACAAAATAATCTAAACATTTTTCGGCACCACGAGAAGCTGCAAAATGCAAAAACTTTGTCAGATTAAACTGCCTTCCACCCATTTCCTCCATTTTTTTCACCATTTCTTCAACACAGTTTAAGTGGTCTCCAACAATTGCCCATTCTATTGGCAGTAACTTTTCCTCCTCACAGCGGTATTTTTCTTGAAACATAAAACCCATTTTCCTATAGTAAGACACTGGCTCATGTAAAGCTGGGTAGCATAACCCAGCTCTTTTATACATATCAAATGGACGTTCAGTTATAAAAGTTTCCAGTATCTTTAGATGCCCGAGGAATGCTGCCATGTGTGTAACAGAGTTACACTCTACCTGGGATGGTATTTGAATGTTACTGATCAAAAGTTCAACTATATCCTTATTATTGACTATGATTGCATGTTGGAGAAGATTCAATCCATACATTTCATCCCTCACACTTAAAATATCCTCATGAAAATTGAGCGTCTTTATTTGCTGACTGATTTCACTGATGCTTTTGTCACATTCTCCTTTCTGATGTTGATAAAGATATTTCACAATCTGATTGATATCATTCATAGAGTCTGAGCTGGCCTCAATGGACCTGTAAGTGTATAACCAAGTGACTGGCCAAACAGTGGTGATATAGTCAAAGAAATATCGGATATAGTTGTAACCTGACTTCAGCATATTTGCCATGACTCTGTTTGTTGTTACAAATCTTCTTGTACCTTACAACATTTCTACCTGAAAGTATAAATTATATACATTTAGTTCATAAAATTTAATCTCATTCTTTTTTAACATGTACATAATTAAGGCATTTAATCAGTTCTTTTCTCTTTTGGCTGGAGATTGTCACCAAAAATATTCATTTATATAATATATAATCTTTATTTAAGTCACATTTATACATAACAACATACAAAATAATTCATTCATTTATTTGTGCATGACCATTCTATCTGAATTACAAGAGACAGTGAAAGGGAGGCAACTCCGCAAAGATTTCTAATATAACTTACAGAGTTACCTTTCTTCTCATTCCATATTCTATTATACTTTATTATATTACAACTAAAATAAGAAACTATTGCTTATCTTGTTCTGAAAGAATTTCTGGTAAAATTCAAACATGCCATTCTAGACACCAGGATTTTCCCGGAAATCAGGTAATTGACTGATTGTCCTAAGATACACTGTATCCCAGAGAAGATTTGTTAATGTGTAAAAAATATTATAGATATCACAAATTACCATTATTGTAGCAAAAACAATTACAATTTTATGCCTACTTATTTTCAAGCTAATATAATTTCTGAGCTAGGGATTTATTACCAGACCATAGCTAACCCTATTTTTTAGTGCAATCTACAATGCCCTTACCAAGAAAACCTAAAATCAATCATGTCAGCATATGCATTTGCAAATAGTATCAATATGCCTACTTTTACAAAACTACTTCACATTCATGTTTACAAAAGTAGTCCCATCTTAGTCAGCTCATCATATGATCATATGATCAACTTGTCACCTTTTTGGACAACTCATCAAGTAAACAACAATGATAATGGGACAATGAGCCAAAATTGCTTTATTCATTCTTTTCTGTACTAAATAAACAAATTTTTTTTTTTGACACGATTTGTTCTAAAAAAACTGCATTCCACATTTTTTTTTGAAGGGCTCAATTTAATCATTAAACATTATTATATGCTACTTTTAATGTGTTTTCTTCCATATGTTCGGCATTAAAGTTTTAGATCAGGCTTAATTGTTAAGAAACCTTACCAGAATAACACACATTTGTTAAACCTTGTTTTAATTCACAAATCCCCTTCTCACAATTAATACTTATGCATTATTCAATTAAACAAACATCAAACTTTACCTTTTAAAATATAAATATTACAAATACAGACATTAAAATTGCCTATTTCACTGTGATACAATTGCAAAGACCTATGTCAGCCACAAGACTTATAAATAAAGCAAGAACCCGCAAACAGCTTAGAGTACAAACATGTACAGGGCTCTCGTTTGGTAAAATTTGGGGCCAAATTTGGGCCCTAATCCCCCATTAAAACAGTGTGTTTTTTCCCTCTAAAACTGAAAAAAATCCCCCTCTAAAATAATATTTAACAGCCATAGATCAGGAATCACATTTTTAAGTTGATTTTTTTTACAAAGTATTCAATATCATTCGAAATAACCAAAATATTTCATGACAGCAGCATGTTGATAAATTTGTTAACTGAATCTTTGTTTTCATTTGTTTTTAATGAATTAATTTTCTTCTACTGAAATTCCCCCTTGAATGAAAAATATTTGAAAATCATGCTAAATTCCCTCCACCCCCCCAGCTGGACCCTGGCCCCAGTCTCAAAATGCTAATGAGAGGCTGAGCCCTGATGTATATATCTGTATATTGGAACATCATTGTTGATATGTTCAATCACGGACTTTAATTGACATTGTAATATAAATCCGTGATTTTCTTTTATTTCTTTGGTAGCATATTATATATAGAATAAAAAAGTCAGAAGTTCATCTTTACTGGTTTTTGAAAAGAATAGTAATTTTTTAACAGTAAAAAGCATGTGGTAATTTTGTAACCATCTGTGCAAAATAATCCGTAACGATCAATTTCATAATTATGTGATCAAACCTTTAGGCGAGTTGGCTGCAAAGTGCTGAAATATATGTCCAAACTGTGAAATAGTTTTTTATACTTGCGATAATTAATGTTTTATCAGGATACACTTCAGTTTACTACATGGCATGCTACATTAATTAATACAAGCAGCTAAATTCATGGCACAAATAATGGCGGACTTTTCCTACAGGTGTTGTTTTCAACGAACATGTCCAGTCACAGTATAGAAATAGATATGCTGAAGACCTTACACTAGTATAATTTTATCTAGGTCCAGCTTCTATAATTTTAAATGTCACTTTTATTTTGACGTTGTGCCACGTTAAAGGTCTAGCAATACTATAAAACCTGTTTGCTGAAGTCTCTTTTGCTAGTATTTATCATGAATCAAGACTCAAGGTTTTTCCCATCACAAATATTTTTTCCCATTAAAAAGCTAAATTTTATAAAATAGAATCTATATTTACAAATAATGGCATTACTGCAAAAAAAATTATAATTCAAAGGGCCCGGACACATTCACAAAAGAATGAGAGAATACAATAATACAATGTAATATCTTTACAACTGCAGCCGAATTCTCACACTATCCGAAAACGATGTTTTGTCACTCCCTCAAGACGGAAGAAATTTTGCATACAAATAATCAAGAAAGATATTCATATAAAAGCGTGACAAATACTTTCAAAAAATGATCATTTACTTACCTAAGGATGCAAGAATATTATCTTAAATAACGTTATTACTTGGCAATTTTATCGAAAAAAAAAATTGTGACCCGAGTTAACTCCCCTATTCAGGTTACAGGTGAAACACTACTAATTATCCTTCACAAATCCCAATATGGGTTTTGTACCACTAAATAATTTTCTTCTTTACTTCTAAAAAAATTAGAAGTTGCCTGAAATACAAACAAATTCTTCTTCCAGAATATAATTTCCACTTAACAAAATATCAAGTAAAAAAAAAAGTATCAGGGGGATTAAAAAATTTTTTTCGTATTATATGGGTTACTTAAAAATATGCTTAAAACCCGGTTTTGGGAAAATTTGCGTTTTTTGGGGTCTTTAAAGTGGAAACCTTTTTGTATGCCAAAAAATCCTTTTCAAAATTTTAGAATTTTAAAAAGCGACAAAAGTAATATAAAAACTTTTTTTCCCCCTGTGAAAAAATATGAAGAAAATAATCCCTGGGCAAATTTTATCCCCTTTCCAGTTCAGTCCTTAGCCCCTTCATAATACGAGAAAACAGGATAAATTACATGTATATTAAATGCAAAAATATATTGTAACAAGTCAATTTTTAAAACATTTTTTTTTCAACCCTGTATTTTTTCAAGTGTCTTTTTTGTTCCATTATTTATTTTAGAAATTTTCATTCCCAAATTCATTTTGGGGTATTTCACGACTTAAAAAGTCAAACGGGGTATTAAGCCCACCATGGGAATAGGAAAAATGCGCATAATTTATCGGGTTGTTCCAAATCGAAACCCTTTAACTCAGAGTTTTGGCCCTTGATTAATTATGCAATATGCATATAGAACAAAAATCATTTCTGCGCTACTTCTCTGCAACTACTGGCTGGAATTCAACGAAACTTTATGGGAACCTTCAATAACAAGAGAATTTGCGCATATTGTCGCCTTGTTCTGGTCAGACACTTTAACTCAGAGTTATGGCCTTTGATTAGTTATGCAGTATGCATATAGAGCAATAATTGTTTTTGCGCTACTTCTCTGCAACTACTGGCTGGAATTCAACGAAACTTTATGGGAACCTTCAATACCAACAGAAGATGTGCATATCGTCACCTTGTTCCGATCAAACCCTTTAACTCAGAGTTATGGCACTTGATGAGTTATGCAGTATGCATATAGAGCAATAATCCTTTCCGCACTTCTTCTTTTCAACTTCTGACTGGAATTCAACGAAACTTTATAGGAACTTTCAATATTAAGAGGAGATGGGCATATCGTTCCCTTGTTCCGGTCAGATACTTTAACTCAGAGTTATGGCCTTGATTAGTTATGCAGTATGCATATACAGCAATACTTGTTTACGCACTACATCTCTGCAACTACTGGCTAGAATTCAATTAATTTTTATGGGAACCATTAAAGCAGCACGCCTCCAGATTCATGCTAATTTTCATGAAAATTTTGAAAATGTATCTGAATGTTTGATATTGTGAAGTAGCCAAATGGAAACAATTTACACATTTTCAATGCCACATACAACCCGCGTAAATTACTAAAAAGTGGTCAAAATATGCATAAAAAGCCCTTACTGCGTTAGTACTGCAGTAGAAATATAGTTGTAAATACTGAAAAATCAGTCATAAATCGCACAGTACTTGAATCTTGAATCTTTTTACATTTCCTAAAATTTTAGTACATTTTTCTTAAGTTTGATTTTATTGAAATATTTTGACTCATCTGGAGGCATGTAGCTTTAATACCAAGAGGAGATGTGCATATTGTTGCCTTGTTCAGACCAGACTATTCATTACAGAGTTATGGCCCTTGATTAGTTATGTAGTATGCATATAGAGCAATATTGCTATTTGTTTGCAACTGCTGTATTGTTTTCAACAAAACTTTATGGCAACCATCGATACAAAAAGGCAATTTACATCTCATTGGCATGTCCAGATATTACTATTTAACACAGAGTTATGGCTCTGTTATTGCCCATGCATATTTATCATGTGCAAAGAATATTACTGTTTATGTCATGATAAATATATAAATAAAGCCTTACATGTTGTATGCTTCAGTGGTTGTGTTAGCAATAACCAGTACTCAGCAGGGGATATAAATTCAACAAATTTGCTAGTAAATCTTAAATTGATTTAAATGAGACTGTAACATTTTTTATTTTGCCTTTTCATGTGTTTCTTAGGATTGTGTTTATCAAATGACATTCAATTTTAAGGTATCATAATATACTTCTGCTTTTCTTTAACCAAATGTTGCAATATTTGATGTGCAGTCATTTAACTCGTAAAAACATCATTCCGGTAACAAGTTAAACTTTTTCAGCATACAAAATAAAAGATTATTGGTGACGTTCATCTATATACAAGTACATGTATCATGCTTGAGCAGTATCAGTTTGTTTGTATATATTAACCTAGCCTGGGATTCAGGCGTTGATATTTTTTGCTTATTCATAACATACGCGCTATTTCATACTCGATCGTCATAGATAACAGAACATCTCTGGTTTTGATAGTATCAACAGGCTGTCGATTTGCCGAATAGAAGCACATAAAAAATCGACAGACTGGAACCCAGGCTTATATTAACCAATATATTAACCATATCTGTCTTAGCAAAATTGAATCGTTTTTCACTGTTTGCTCTAAACATTTTAATTTCAAAAGTAAATGTTCAGACAAGATTATGCGTGTTACACTATTTAAGTGAAAATACTTTAAAAAGATTTTAATATATGCAGACCTAGCTGAAGTTTTCCTTGTAACTGAGTGTGCATTGTTTCCAATTTTTTTACTTTTTACGTGAGAACCTCTGTGCTGTTGAAACATGAACTTATCACAAATCTAAGCACTCCATATACTCTTTCAAATATTCAACAAACAAGAAATCTTATGAAAATATAAAATATCTTTATTCAAAAAATATTCTAACAAAACATAGTTAGGATTGCTCAAAGTATAAAAGTTAAAAAAAACATTACAATATCAGATCTTACAGTCTTGAACTGAAACTATTGATGTACTTTAAAATATATTTCACTCTTGTTCTAAATATTAAACTATCTATCTATAACAAATCACAAGATAATTTAATCAGATATTCACCACAGTGAACAGAACATACACAATATGTAAGATAGAAATTAGCTTTCTGTTTAATACTGATATATCAGCAATTTTTATGTACATGTATTAACCTTTTGAGCACAAGCAGTAATATTAACTTTAACCCTGCTGTCAGCAACTGTATTTATCCAGGTTACCAGTGCAGGCCAAGATCAGTTGGCACATTCATGACGTGGTCTACACTGTTTGTTGTTCAGTCAGTACATATTTGAAGTTTTACCTATAAATAGTGGTTTTGTACAGATTAAAAGATGGGCAAGTCAATGATATTTAGTATGGTATGGGTTAAAGACTTGATTTTATGTCACCAGGTGGAATAGCAAAGTGGTCTTAGTAGAACAGCAGGGTGGCCTTAGTGGAACAGCAGGGTGGTCTTAATGGAATCACAGAGTGGTCCTTGTTGAAAAGCAGGGTGGGCTTAATTGAGATCATATGCCTAGTAAATTAAAGAACAGAATATTGCATTCTTTAAAAAAAATCTGTATAAATAGCAGGTTAGTCTGAATTCAAGGATGATCTTAGGTGGTGTGTCTACTGTATTTCTTACTTCTTTCCTATATGCATAGATCATATAACAAACACATCAATGTATATATCGATGGCTGAACGCAACACTGGTCTAACTTGATTTTTTTTCAAAAATGACTTTTTTGCATTTTTTAGTCTAATTGCATGAAATACATCAGTAAATAAAATATTAGAAATATTTGTGAAATTTTATGGGTTTTATTTATCACTTGGCATTTTGCTCTATCTCAAATGTGATTATAACTTAAATGCAACAGAGAGCTAACTCAAGTTAGAACTGTATTGCATTAATCAAAATTTACTTATCGGATGATAACACTAGTTATCTAACTCTAACACTAACTCTAGTTAGCACAGTTTTAAATTTCAATACAATAAATTTCAGTATTGTTATATTTGCAGATATTAAGTTAGGTCCATATTCATAAATACTTATTTCTACATTTTACCCATTTTTGTTGCCAAAATTGCAGAATTGTAAATCCAAGGCTCTTAATTAATTGTATTTTGTTTTTAAGGAACATTTATAAGTTTAAAATTGCTATATTATCTCTACATTATGAGTCATATAAGATTGAAATAAAAAATAATAGTAAATTAACCTTTCAAAAGGTTTTTATTACAATATTTAAATCATATAATTTACTGTTGATGAAAATTATTTACAAGACAATTTGTGTTGTTTTTTGTTGTTATTGTTATTAATCATAGTGATCTATTAATACTGATGAAACAAGATCTCCCACCCTTTAAAAATTTCAAGATTTTATAATATTTCAATACAATTTGCTCCTAATTCTTAAAGGGACTCCAATTTTGGCATCATGGGACTTAAAAAATATTTTTGAGATTTATGTACAATTTGATGACGGTCTGGACAAATTACTTGTGGTGTTAAAACTTTCAGATTATTTGCCAAGTTTTTTCCAGAGCAATTATGTGAACTATAAAAATAACCGGCTATTGAAAAGCATATTAATGCAGCTTTGAACTCAAATTAGATTCTAATAGAACCATGATAAAATTTTCAATTTCATGTTAAGTATAATTTCTTTATATCTCTTGTGAATCTTTCTGTTTATGTGACCCGAGTTGATTCATTTCAGAAACTCAAATCTTTATGTTTTTGGACCTCAGTGAAGTTTCTTGTATAAGGCTTGTATCACTTAAATAAAAATTTTGGTTTGGTTGGTTTTATAGCGTACCAACACAATTGAGGTCCTATGTCGCTGAAACAGGAAAGATTTTTTCTTGCACATCAGATAGGATTATCTTCTGTTTACACCGGTGCTAGAAAAACCTGTTTTACATCCCCCATGTAAGACAAGTCAATGTTTTTAAATGAAGTCATTCCCAATTGCCTTTTATGAATGAACTGCTTTCTAAAGATGACATCATTTTGCCATAACAAATGAAATTGTAAAGTAAATGTCAATGTTAGTGATATTAAAGTAAATGGGGACAATGCTGGTGATATCATAGTAAATTGGGACAATGCTGGTGATATGAGGGGTTAGTTGGAACAATGCTGATGAAATGAGGGTTAGTTGGGACAATGCTCATGATATCATAGTAAATGGGGACAATGCTGGTGATATCATAGTAAATGGGGACAATGCTGGTGATATCATAATAAATGGGGATAATGCTGGTGATATGAGGGGTTAGTTGGGACAGTGCTGATGATATGAGGGTTAGTTGGGACAATGCTGATGATATCATAGTAAATGGGGACAATGCTGGTGATATCATAGTAAATGGGGACAATGCTGGTGATATCATAATAGATGGGGACAATGCTGGTGATATCATAGTAAATGGGGACAATGCTGGTGATATCATAATAAATGGGGACAATGCTGGTGATATGAGGGGTTAGTTGGGACTGTGCTGATGATATGAGGGTTAGTTGGGACAATGCTGATGATATCATAGTAAATGGGGACAATGCTGATGATATTATAGTTAGTGGGGACAATTCTAGTACTATTACAACTGGAGGGGACAATGCTGGTGATATCATAGTTAGTGGAGACAATGCTGGTAATATGACTGTTTCAGTGGGGACAATGTTAGTGATATTATAGTTAGTTGGGGCAATACTGGTATTATAAGGGTTAGTGGGGACACTAACTTGTGATATTATAGTTAATGGTGGTAGTGGGGACAATATTGGTGATATAATTATAGTTAGAGGGGAATATGCTGAGGATGACAATGCTGGTGATAAAAGTGTGATTGATGACAATACTGATGTAATGAGGTCTAATTTGGTGGCAATGCTGCTTAGATTGGTGGTGAGGAAGATAGTGGTGGTGAGATGCGTATTCAGAATAGTAATGTTGGTTAATAAGGGCTAGTGGAGACAATGCTGTTTATATAAGAGCTGTGATGGTGATAAAAATGCTGTAAATCATTTTGAAGGTAAAATTAGGGTTCTTGATAACATTATGCTGGTGATGAGTACTGGCAAGTAGAGAAGATTAAAATGATAGTTTATGTAATATAGAAAATAGTTATTAAATGGGGAAAATATTTATAAAAAAGTAAGAATGATGATAGATAAAAGAGAAATGTAATGAATTACTGTAATAGGAATATGGGAAAAAAATTATGTTTAAAAATCTGACAAAAAATTGAGTATAACGGATGATGAGAAAGGAAGGTGGACAAAGCTATAGATACAAGTGCCATGCCAAGTTTAATTACAAAGTGAGGCAAAAGTTTTTTTTCTTTAGCAACTTGGAGAGATAACCTTAGTTTATGCAAAATGTTCCTAAAGTTAACATTTTTCTTTAAATTCTGACTACATAAATAAACTTGAAAATATAAATGAAGATCCAATAGGCAAAAATTAGGTTCAGTTTTGAATAATATTGTCTGTGTTTTTAGAATTGCAAGTTTTGGGCTTCAATTTTAATGTTGAATTGAATAATGCTTAATGTAAAAAATTTTATCTTGTCTACAAAACATTCATTCCGAACTAAAACTTTATAATTAGAATTTTTTATGTGATAAAACGACTGACTTTTAAGATTGTCTGATTTCTAGTATGTTATGCAAAAGTTGTCAATTTTGTATAAATTAACATTTCGGTTTCCTTAGAAAAGTTGTTTTCTTTTAAAATAATACTAAAATATGGTTATAGTTACAGCTTTTTTATATTATATTATCCTATTTTTTCAAACATAGCACTTATTGATTATTCTTTTGGCCTTATTGAGCTCATTTTGTAAATGCAACATAGGGCTAAGTCAAGTTAGACCAGTTTTGCTGAAAATTTATCATTGAAATTTGGTGATTTATAAATGGAAAACTGATCTAACTCATATCTTTTCAAATATCTTTTTTATTTAACAATATTAATTTATGAAACTCCTTTTAACTAAAATTTTAACTTATATGGATATAAAAATCTAAAAATAATAACAAAAATGTCCAATTCATAGAATTAATTAAGTTTTTATAGCCTCCTTGAAAATTTGTAAAAATCAAGTTAGACCAGTGTTGCGTTCAGCCATCGATATGTAATTCTATGTAAAGCACTTTAAATATAACACAAAATCAACAAATGTAAACAAGAGCGATCAGTGATCACATGTTGCCTCATGATGGCCAATTTCATGTTGGGACAAGTTTTGTGACAGACGGACAGTGCACAACTAGACTTGGTACTGATCATTCCTGTAAAGTTTGGATAAAATTGCACCAGTAGTTTATGAGGAGTAGTCCGGACAAGCTTTTGTGTATCTGGCAACACACAGAAAAAAGACCTTTTTATCAAAGGGCCATAACTCGGCCAAAAATCATTCAACCGGAAAACCTGTGCAATATGTGCAAGGACTTGAGCTACAGATCAATCCTGTAAAGTTTCATTGAAATTGCATTAGTGGTATAAGAGAAGTAGTCCGGACAAACTTTAAAAATAAAAATTATTAAAGGGCCATAACTCTGACAAAAATCATTGAACCGGAAAATTCTGACAATATGCACAACTAGACTTGGTACTGATCATTCCTGTAAAGTTTGGATGAAATTGCACCAGTAGTTTATGAGGAGTAGTCCAGACAAGTTTTGTGACGGACGGACAGACGGACGGACAGACATACCAATTTTTCAGGTTTATGAGCTATTTCTATTGTTCTTTTCTTTTGTTCCCTTGTGGGCTAACTATTGTTTCCTTATGAGCTAACTATTATTTACGGAATGAAGTCCTTTGTTCTCTTTTGTCCCAGTGTACCGTTAGTTAGCTCATATACCTTAAATGTTTGTGCGGACGGACAGACTGACAGACAGACGACGGAGAAGTGATCCCTATATGTTGCCACTACTCCGTAGAGGCAACACAAAAATGCACACAAAGATTTCATATTAAAAGGGAAACGCAAGTGAATATTAATAGTTTTAGCATAAACTTCTGAAAAAATGTAGAAATCAACTTCTGAAAAAGTATTTGTAAAAATCTTTAACTTCAATTTCTAACCTGAAAAATGGTGTGACTCAAAAAAAATATATTTAAGTAGCAAAGCTATCATAGTTTATTGATTAAATGTTATGTTTCAACTGAGTGCAATAAATGCCAATATATATTATTTATCACTTTGTCACAAATATGTAATATGGTCTAAAAAAACATTAAAACCTGGTGAATCTTTCAACAGAGTTTAAGTGTAGGATTTGTCATACCTCAAATTTTTTCTTGGAAAAAAGTCAAGCCTAGAATTAGCCAATTTAAAAAAAATACAAAAAAGAAAAAATGTACATATTTTACATAAAAAAACAACATTTTTTATATATATCAAGAACAGAATAAATACCAAGACTTTCAGTAAGACACAAAGCTATCAAATTATCTTCCACCCAACTACCAGAAAGCCCTGGATTGCAATATATGTATATTAAGCTATAGAAAAAGCTCTGCCAATCTGTTTAAAAATCATATAATAAATAAATATATATTATGTCCATCATATATATAGTATTCAAAATTTCTGTATCTGACATGCATATCATGAGTATGCCCTAACTAGCTCATTTTCTTTAAAGAAATATACAATTAATTATCATAACATTCTGTTAGTTATCTGTCATACAAAGAAAGAGTTGTTTTCCAAAGAATCATGAAAAAGGGCCCCAAAAATTGTATCGAATGGTACAAATGCATCTCAAGATGCTTTTTGAAAAAAAATATCAGTTTTCTTTAACTTTTTCTCTATGTACCTGTCAAGTATAGATTATATAGGACCAGGTCAGAACCTAGTATTACCAGTACCCTCTACAACCTCCCCCCCCCCCACTCCCAATATATAAATATATCTTTAAATAAAATAATTTAAATAAAACAAAACTGAACGATTGCAAATAAAAAAAAAATTAAATCGAGGCATCCCTAAAATATACTACATGTATTAATTTTTACAAGGTATAAAACTCTGTTCATTTCCAAATGAAAAACTGCACACCTTTATCTTCAAACTGTATAAATTAATTTTTTTTACCAATTTGAAAGTATTCGTAAATGATTATTCAAAACAGAACTGTCATTAAAAACACTTTGAGTTTCATAAAAATATTTTATCTTGAAGTCCCCAAAAGTGTCATTCGGGAAAAGATCTGATGGCATTGTTGATGTAAAAAATGTAAAAATTATTAGCAAGATGTGCATGTTGAATAATCCTACTTACAAATAAATCAAAGCACGAATTTTAGGTCCTTTTTTTTTGGTTGGGTTTTATGTCGCTCCAACACAGCATAGGTCATATGGCAACTTTCCAGCTTTACTGGTTAAGGAAGACCTCAGGTGCTCCTCTGTACATTATTTCTGGCACAAAAGGTGCCCTGAGTAGAAGGCACAACAAAAGGTGCCCTGAGTAGAAGGCACAAAAGGTGCCCTGAGTAGAACCACCAACGTTCAGTACAGTGGTGAGAGGAAAGTGATTTGAAGCCAACGAACTTAACCATATTGGCCAAAGATTTTAGATTGTAGATGAGTCTAAGGTGATACTAATGTCTGATCTGGATAGCCAGATGAATATTATCAATAAACAATGTAAATTTTGAAATTGTCTTCTAAACTGAAAACAAGTAGTGTTAATATCATAATGGAAAAGTGATTTGATGTCTGACAGAAATTCCTTCATAGTTCATCATGTTCATCTTTATCATCATCATCATGATCATCATCACGTTCCTCATCTTCATCGTAATTCTCATCACCGTCACCATAGATCTTCTCAAGATCTTCTTCTATAGCTTGAAATATATGTCCTATATCCAACAACACCTGGTAAATAATACAAACTAATGTTAACATTGTGTTTTAATGTCATTATGAAATAACATTGTCTTACTTTGACACATCTTACATCACATTACATCACATTTATATTAAAATTTTGTACTAAAATAAGCAAGTTGACTCATGTTTACACAGCTGACCTTTATACATCAATAAAATGTTAAATATGTGTTTTTATGTCATAAAGAAATCATATTGTCTTAAACACATTTTCCCATTTTTCTTCATTACTTTCAATTTTTCTTCATAAATGGGCTATACCAAGTGGTATTTTGCAATATACAAAATGTAGGACACATATGACCTAATATTAATTAAGATAAATTAACTTTTTTTTCTTTTCATAATGCCAAAAAGAAAGTGTTGAATGAATCTGGCGAAGTTTTTTTCACCGGAACTCTTGCTCAAATACCATTGTTAGAAGTGCAGAAAACTGTAAAACAAAGCTTTGTTACTTTTCCTGCAATTCCTACTCCTGATGTTAGAAAACCTCCATGACACTGTGGCGAATTTATTATTATTTATTATTATAGATTTATTACTGCGTAAACTTAGAAAAGAACATAATAACTATTTTCTTCTTAACAGTATGATCAATGATTTACATCAACAATACTTCTAAGAATATAATACTATACCTCTTTAGTTGCAGAATCTAATTCAGCTTTTGTAACTATAGCATCTTTATTAGCATCTAGTAGAGAAAATATCTGAAAACATTATATGTATTTAAATTAATTCATTACAAACATGACAAAAGAGTTTTTTTCAATACATAAAGGAGACAGGTATGTAACTTTCAATAGATGTTGTGTTGTTTTTAAAAACTAACATGGAAATGGTGAAAGCATATATCAAATTTAATATGTTTTATGCAGTATGTGCCAACATATTTTATTTTCAGGACATAAAGTTAAGTTCAGTCCAATATTTTTTTAAATTGTACTATTTTAATGGTATAAAAATCTCAAACTAAAGAGAGTGTAACAAGAGCTGTCAGAAGGCCAGGAGAATCAACTTTTCTCATCGTTTGATAGTTAGTTAAGAGCCTGGATAAGTTCAACAAGAGCCTGGATAATTTAAACAAGAGCCTGGATAATGTAAAAGAGGATGATTTCATTTGAGATATCATGACATAGTTATGAGTCTTGGATATACAAAAAGGAAATTTATTAAATTCACAAAAATCAATACTCCATTAAAAACCTATGCCAGAGTTATGGGTCTTGGAAAGTGACCTTCAATTATAATTCCAAGGACTTAAATTATGTTTCAAGTGAATATCATCTTTAGTTTTAAAGACTGTTGCATTCACTTTAAGGGGCAGATAACTCAAAGAGTAGGAAGGTGACCAGTATTGTTTTTTTAAACAATTTGTTTCATTTATGATTTTCATTTACCATGCAAAGTTTAAGAAATTTCTTTGGGCTTGTTTCTTTCTTTTTTTTTTGCCTTTGTAAAAAATGCACTTCTACCAGAAATGTCTTTTAAATTTCAAGTTGTTTTGAAAATTGATATTCCAAGCAAAACTTTGACCAAGAATTTTGTAAGTTCACAAAGGACCATAATTCCATTAAAATCCATGCTTAAGTTACTGGCTTTTGGCCAGCGATTTTCTAATATGATCTAAAGACACATGTGAAGTTACAAGTTAATATTTCTAGTGGTTGATAAGATATGATGTGATACAAGAAGTATCAAGTAAAACTCTAACTAAAGTGTTATGCCAATGCCCAACTGAGTAGGATAGCCCCCACTTTTCTTTGGAATAAACAATTGTGAGGGCTGGCCTGTTGTACATTGGTGGAACCTGCCATTATCAACTTCAGCACTGTAACAGTTTGTCAAAATCAACATGATCAACACTGAAACAGTAGTTAACTATCCATATCTGGCCCCTCTAAGACAAAATAAAATGTGTGTCACCTAAACATGAACAAAATGATAATACTGGTCACTTACATCATCTAAATCTTCAGACAACTCCTCATTCTCCTCTATCACACTTTTCATCTCAGGCTGAAATATTAACCATATCTTTTAATTACTTTTATGCTGTAGCTTTGATGGTCAAATTTGTAAATAACAATTTGTTTATTGTACTTGTATCAAAAATCTATTTTCATTCATAAGAATTAATAATGCATGTAGCCATGTACTGTAAATGTGTCAATATAAATTTAACTCAGCACAATAAATATTTATGAATGAAACAAAATTTTAATAATAACATTCTTTTAGAGAATTTATTAAGTAATAGAAAGAGCACCGAAACACGAGGCTATCTGATTTGTACGAGGGGGCGTAGCCCCCGAGTATTTATCAGATTGCCGAGTGTTTTGGTGTTCTTTCTCTTTTGTATCATAGTCAAAACATAAAAGCATGTTCCCTGTTGTCACAATATGAAACCCCGGCAAAAATGAACCAATGAACGAACATCTGAGTATGACATTTCTGTCGCTTTCCCTTTCTCTGCCGTCACAATATGTAAACCCCAGCAAAAATGAGCCAATCAATGGGCATGCTCTGGAGTGCGGGTAACTAATACCCGCACTCCAGTTAACGCACTGTGCATGTATATGTATACGATTTAACCCAGACACATTTTCAACAGAAAGGTCTCCAAACTATGATACAAACACAATTTGTAAAATGCTATGTTTATGTTTTACCTATAACTAAATTTCAAAGTAAAAATTGATCTTGTTAAAAACCTGTATTATAAATCAAGCTTACCCCTAACAAATTCTGAGTAAGTCTTGTTATATCAGTCTCTCCAGTATTTCCAAGAAGCTTTTTAAGGTGTTCCCTGAAAAACTAGCTTGATTAAAAAACATGTATGTAAAATAAAACACAAATGAAGTTTTAATGATATTCATACTAAAAGCTAATTGAAAATGCCTTAAACTTCTTCAAAAACAAGTACAATTATTTCTCAAGTAAATAAGAAATAACTGCTAAAGACTGTAGACAGCATATTCCACTTTTCTCAGATTTGGATGATAAAACAAAACTGAAAAGGGGCATAACTTTGTAATAATTAATTTCAGGATTATCAACCCTTTTGAAATGGCTTAACATCTTGATAGTGAACATGTATACCAAGTTTAAAGTGAAAGTATTGATAGTTTCTGACAAATGGATATCAAACAAGCAAATTCGTTGAATTTATATCCCCTGCCGAGTACTGGTTATTATTAACACAACAACTGAAGACATAAGGCTTTATTTATATATTAATCATGGCATAAACAGTAATATTCTTTGAACTTGATAAATATTCAGGGCAATAACAGAGACATAACTTTGTGTTAAATAGTAAAATCTGGAAATGCCAATGAGATGTATGCATACTACATAACTAATCAAGGGCCATAAATCTGAGTTATAAGTATCTGACTGGAACAAGGCGACTATATGCACATCTCCTCTTAGTATCCCATAAAGTTTCATTGAATTCCAGCCAGTAGTAGCAGAGAAGTAGCGGGGAAACAAATATTTTTCTATATGGATACTGCATAACTAATCAAGGGCCATAACTCTGAGTTAAAGTGTCTGACCGGAACAAGCCGACCATATGCGCATCTCCTCTTGGTATTGAAGGTTCCCATAAAGTTTCGTTGAATTCCAGCCAGTAGTTGCAGAGAAGTAGCGCAGAAACTATTTTTACTCCATATGCATACTACATAACTAATCAAGGGCCATAACTCTGAGTTAAAGGGTCGGACCGGAACAAGCCCACAATATGTGCATCTCCTCTTGATATTGATGATTCCCATAAAGTTTCGTTGAATTCCAGCCAGTAGTTGCAGAGAACTACTCCGGAAACAAAATTCGGACAGACGGATGGACGGAAGGAAGGACAACGCCAAAACTATATCCCCCTCCCGATTCCATCGGCGGGGGATAATAAATGGTAAACCAGAACAGAGGAGAGGGTTGTCATGACAATACTAATACCTCCACTTTTTTCTTCAAAATGTTGAAAAAAAAACCCACTTCCATTCAGTTTAGGTTCTAAAACAGTCAACTTTCTCACCTGATTTCTTCAGGGTCAGCTGTAAGATCACCGAAACCTTTAAAATCAGCCTCTTTTAAAGTCATGCCAGGTTCACAGGGGTCTGTGCAGCTATTAAAGTCAAGATCCTGTGACAAGTGATGTTTCCACCATATATTCACAGCTAAATTACTCCCATATGACCTCACTTGATGAATCCTGAATAAAACAAGATATGTTTGTAAAACATGTATGCCCCCTATCGGCAGCCAATTAGTCATGTGATAAGGTTATTATGCATGACTTCTGACCCAGTGATCAAACAATTAATAAGGGTTATCAAGTATCTACTGGTCATAACCTTGACCTTTGACCCCTTGACCCAAAACTCAAAAGGGGTCATCTGCTGGTCACGACCAATCATCATACAAAGTTTGAAGTTCCTAGGCCTAAGCGTTTTTAGTTAATTGATCGGAAACCGTTTTTACCTACAAGGTCAATGTGACCTTGACCTTTGACCCCTTGACCCCAAAATCAATAGGTCATCTGCTGGTCATGACCAATCACCATACCAAGTTTGAAGTTCCTAGGCCTAAGGGTTCTTTAGTTATTGATCGGAAACCGTTTTAACATACAAGGTCAATGTGACCTTGACCTTTGACCCCAAAATCAATAGGGGTCATCTGCTGGTCATGACCAATCACCATACCAAGTTTGAAGTTCCTAGGCCTAAGGGTTCTTTAGTCATTGATAGGAAACCGTTTTTGCTTACAAGGTCAATGTGACCTTGACCTTTGACCCCTTGACCCCAAAATCAATAGGGATCATCTACTGATCATGACCAATCACCATATCAAGTTTGAAGTCCCTAGGCCTAAGGGTTCTTTCGTTATTGATCGGAAACCGTTTTTACCTACAAGGTCAATGTGACCTTGACCTTTGACCCCTTGACCACAAAATCAATAGGGGTCATCTACTGATCATGACCAATCACCATATCAAGTTTGAAGTCCCTAGGCTTAAGGGTTCTTTCATTATTGATCGGAAACCGTTTTTACCTACAAGGTCAATGTGACCTTGACCTTTGACCCCTTGACCCCAAAATCAATAGGGGTCATCTACAGATCATGACCAATCACCATACCAAGTTTGAAGTTCCTAGGCCTTAAGGTTCTTTACTTATTGATCGGAAACCGTTTTTGCCTACAAGGTCAATGTGACCTTGACCTTTGACCCCTTGACCCCAAAATCAATAGGGGTCATCTACTGATTATGACCAATCACCATACCAAGTTTGAAGGTTCTTTAGTTATTGATCGGAAACTGTTTTTGCTTACAAGGTCAATGTGACCTTGACCTTTGACCCCTTGACCCCAAAATCAATAGGGGTCATCTACTGGTCATGACCAATCACCATACTAAGTTTGAAGTTCCTAGGCCTAAGGGTTCTTTAGTTATCACTCGGAAACCATTTGGTCTACGGACCGACGGACCGACAAGTGCAAAGCAATATACCCCCTTTTCTTCGAAATGGGGGCATAATAATAATATTTACATGATTTTTCTTTCTATTTGAAGAATTGGATTTATTTTAATCTGGCCAGTCACTGAAAACAATGCATAAACTTGAAGTTCTAGTAAAATAAACACTTTTCATATGACACCTGTCCAGCACTTCTTCTAGAGGAAGATTTCACTTAAGTTGAACCTGTCATACGTTATTTATAAAGTTACCTTGCATCTTAATAATTCTATTACTTAGATTTAACAAAGTGATATTAAGTATTATATCAGAAATTCATCTGCAGAACAGGCACAAAATCACATAATCATTCAAAGGATATTAGTTTATTTTGCGATATTATGCTAGTTTAATATCCCTCTGAGAAGTAAGAAAATGCAATATTTTCATAAGCCTGAGTAAAAATGTGGATATTTTCTCACTTCAAAGTGAGATAAATAATTAGTCATGAATTACAAACAAAATGTGTTTTCTTTAACATGTAACAAGTAAAAAATCCATTAATTTCTGACTGCTTTGTATTGAAGGATTGCAACAGATGCACAAAATGAAGATAACAAAAAGAAGATAACATCAGACATTCAACAATTATATGAATGCAATGGAAACACTATTGTAACAAAACCAATTCAAGTGTACAGTCATCATGTCATGTTACATTTTAGCTATTTTCGTATGGTCATGATATTTGAATTGAGAAAATTACTATTATGAGTAAAACATAGCCAAGTATTTTTATGTAAATTTATTAAATCAAATAATTCAATGTGCACGCCAACAAAAAATTTGGCAAAGCTATATCACTCACGCTGGATTTTTATTCCATACTCACACTGGACTTTTTTTTCATGCTCACACTGGACTTTTATTTCATACTCACACTAGACTTTTCTTTCATACTCACACTGGACTTTTCTTTCATACTCACACTGGACTTTTATTTCATACTCACACTGCATTTTTATTTCATACTTACACTGGATTTTTATTCCATACTCACACTGGATTTTTATTTCATGGATATAATCCAGTGTTCTTTGGTTAGAATGAAATAATGGTTATAAAGCATGATCTGTTTCTACACTATCATAACCAGAATGATAGCATATGCTACAAACATGGATTGTTCAAATTTGATTTATACAAAAAGTGTCCACATCTTACCAATGGTAGGGAATATATAAACAGTCTCCTGCTGCAATGTCCACATGATAAAACTCTACCTCTGCCATGCCAGGGAACTTTGTGTAATCAACACTGTAACATACAAATTGACACAACATCTGTGATTACCTTTCAAATTATTGTACATGTATGGTCTTTTGACCTGCATGTTGATATAGAATATAATTCTAATTAATACACAAAGTTTTATTCAGAAAAAGTACATAAAATATGAGGTACTTCAAAACCATTTATAACTAATGCTAATCTGTCTACAGAAAATCAAGCAATTATACCAACAAAAAAAATGAATTTTCTAGACTTTATATCATTATTTCAGATTGATTTACTAGAAAATGATTTCATTTTTCTATTTCTTAATTATCAAACCGGCCCAATATTTACCTGTCAACATCCATAGAAGAGTATGAACCTTCAACTCTATCAAGGTCAACCTGTAATAACACAGTGTCATTTGTTGTAATTATGTTCATATTACATTGAATAATAGTGAATATTGTTCTTACAACATTAAAATTTTGCAATATCATAATTTATTTAATGGTAACCAATGAAATACTGGGTTTTATTATTGAAATAAAATTGGCATCACATGACTGATAGTGATAAAGCTTAGGCAAACATTTTATAAAAATAATTTGAATGTGTTTTACTTTTTACGATTGTGTAGATTAACATAAAACATGAGGGCCATGATGGCCCTAGATCGCTCACCTGACTTATCAAACTCATCCAAACAATTACCTAGACAAGCATTTTGACCAAGTCTCATGACAAGTGAGTCAAAAATGTGACCACTACAGTGTTAACAAGGATTATCTATATTTGAGCAGTGCGACCTAGTTTTTTACCCAGGTGACACATATTCAAACTTGACCTAGAAATCATCAAAACAAACTTTCAGACCAATTTCCAGGATACTTGGATCAAAACAGTAGCAACTAGAGTGTTAACAAGATTTTTCTATTTTTAGCTCCGGTGACCTAGTTTCACATGCGATTTCGAACTCATCCAAGCAATTACCTACAGACTTCCCGAAATACGTCGGTCCGACGGACATGTCCGATAAATTTTGATCAGGTCCGACGAGTTTTTATTCCGGATCGGTCCGACTGTCCGGCTTTTATCCAAGCCGCATGTGTACAAAATGGCGTCGCTAAAGGTGCCAAACCTTGGAAAAATAAAAAATCTACGTCAGAGGAACACGTAGAACAGAAGTAAAAGGATAAAAAGAAGGACCTGAGACAAAATTTAATGAAAATTAGAAGCAAGACAGTGAATCATTGGTGTATGATAGGGAGGAGTTGAAAATGCGCTGTAAGGAATGTGCCGATTTTTACGGCGAAAAAATTAAAAACAAAAAGTGTCTTAGAAATACAAACACACGTTATTCTTTGATTTTGATCAATTTTATTTGGTCCGACAGATTTCGTTTCGGTCCGACAGATTTTCATGGTTTGTCAGACCAAATGTCTGACAGTTTTTTTCAACTTTCGGGAAGTCTGACCTAGACAAGCATCCTGACCAAGTTTGATGATAATTGAGTCGAAAATGTGACCACTAGAATGTTAACAAGGTTTTTCCATATTTGGGCGGTGTGACCTAGTTTTTCATCCAAGATGACCCATGTTCGATCTTGACTTAGAAATCATCAAAACAAACTTTCAGACCAATTAACAGAATATTTGGATCACAACAGTAGCCACTAGAGTGTTAACAAGATTTTTCTATTTTTAGCTCCTGTGACCTAGTTTTTCATCTGAGATGTCCCATGTTCGTTTTATTTCCAGCAATGACCTAGACAAGTTTCCTGACCAGGTTTGATGACAATTGAGTCAAAATTGTGACCACTAGAGTGTTAACAAGGTTTTTCTATTTTTAGCTCCGGTGACCTACTTTTTCATCCGAGATGACCCATGTTCAAACTCATCCGAGCTATTACCTAGACAAGCATCTTGATCAAGTTTGATGATGATTGAGGCCAAAATGTGATCGCTAGAGTGTTAACAAGGTTTTTCTATTTTTAGCTCCAGTGACCTACTTTTTCATCCGAGATGACCCATGTTCGAACTCATCCGAGCTATCACCTAGACAAGCATCTTGACCAAGTTTGATGATGATTGATGCAAAAATGTGACCGCTAGAGTGTTAACAAGGTTTTTCTATTTTTAGCTCTGGTGACCTACTTTTTCATCCGAGATGACCCATGTTCGAACTCATCCAAGCTATCAACTAGATAAGCATCCTGACCAAGTTTGATGATGATTGATGCAAAAATGTGACCGCTAGAGTGTTAACAAGGTTTTTCTATTTATAGCTCCGATGACCTAGTTTTTCATCCGAGATGACCCATATTCGAACTCATCTGAGCTATTATCTAAACAAGCATCCTGACAAAGTTTGATGATGATTGGGTCAAAAATGTGACCACTAGAGTGTTCACAAGGTTTTTCTATTTTTAGCTCCTGTGACCTAGTTTTTCATCAGAGATGACCCATGTTCGAACTCATCCAAGCAATTGACTAGACAACATTCTGACCAAGTTTGATGATGATTGGTTCAAAAATGTGATCACTAGAGTGTTCACAAGGTTTTTCTATTTATAGCTCCTGTGACCTACTTTTTCATCCGAGATGACCCATGTTGAAACTCATCCGAGCTATCATCTAGACAAACATCCTGACCAAGTTTGATGATGATTGGGTCAAAAATGTGACCTCTATAGTGTTCACAAGGTTTTTCTATTTTTAGCTCTTGTGACCTAGTTTTTCATCCAAGATGAGCCATGTTCGCACTCATCCGAGCTTTCAACTAGATAAGCATCCTGACCAAGTTTGATGATGATTGAGGCAAAAATGCGACCGCTAGAGTGCTCACAAGCAATTGTGGACGGACGACGGACATTCATCGATCCTAATTGCTCACCCTGAGCAAGCTCAGGTGAGCTAAAAAGTAATAATTGAGCCGTGTCACGACAAAACCAACATAATGGGTTTGCGACCAGCATGGATCCAGACCAGCCTGCGCATCCGCGCAGTCTGATCAGGATCCATGCTGTTCGCTTACAATCTCTAAAACAAGTAGAGAAACTGATAGCAAATAGCATGGATCCTAATCAGACTGCGCGGACCATGCTGGTCGCAAACCCATTATGTTGGTTTTGTCATGACACGGCTCATATGTTGTTGTGTTGTTTTTTTTATTCAAATATCATAAATTTCATAAAATTTGAAAATATTACACTGCATTGCTACACGCTTTTGCTGTCACAGCTGTTCGGTGACATGCTGTCTTCTTTATATGCTTTAATTTTTGGCACCTCAATGTAAACAGTAACAAAAGACTGTTTTTTTTTCTAGTTATTAATAATATAGCATAGCAATAGAAAATATTAAACCTTATCATGGTATAAAATAATACCATTAATTGTGTCCGTCTGCAGCATCTTTGTTTACCAGTTATTGGATGTTCTGAGGCACAATATGCAATTATCAGAATGTGCTTTAACTTGTATTCAAATAAGCACTTATTTTTGAGATTCTACAGTATGTTAAAAATTAACAAAGTAACAGCTTCTAAAATACATTTTCAATCTACTAGACAGTTTAATTTTAGAAAAAAGAAGTAATTTACCTTGTCTCCATATTTTTCAGGATCTACAAAGATTAGAGTTTTCTCCCCTCTATATAAACAGTTTATGTTCTCTACAGAGTCTGTATGTACAACAGACTTTGTTCCTCCACTACTGTACCACATTACCTTCAAATAAACAGCCATTTCATACAATAAAATATAACGATTAAACCACAGATGAAAAGTCACAAAATGAATAACAATTTGCTTAATTAATTTGAAATCACACACAAAAATATCTAGTATGTTTGATTTTTACTATATTAATTTTGAAATTGAATGCAATATAACCTAGACATTTTACAAAAAGACCAAACAAGTTGTAAATATCTGTCACGTTCTTCATTTCAGACCTTAATATTTATCTATTCATTTGTAATGAAGACTAAATACTGGGGGAATGAAAGATATTGCATTTTCCATTATATCTCCTTACTTACCTAAAACAAATACTTCATTATACACTTATTTACCTTTTTATTATAAGTCAACAGCTTTCTGCCATGTGTTTTTGAAATGTCATTGTAACAATTTCAGACAAGAATTTGTAACAAAGTTACCAACGTCCCCCGCTTAGAAGCTATTTCAAAAGATTGAGGTATGGATCTGGACTTTCAGTGCAAAATTTTGATCAATGCTAGATCTTCACATGCAAATAACAATAAATTCATTAAAGAAATATACTGAAATAACTCCTGTGTATGTGTCAACAGAAATACATTTGTATAGTTGTTGTCACTATTTCAAAGCCACAAAATGAGACAAATACAAAATCAGGATATGGTCTGTTACAGGGTATATTTCATGTTCAGTCTGTAAATTTTTCATCGATGAAAGGTATGTGGACGATTCACCAATGACATTTTCTTTGCATGGGCTTGACTTGGCATCATTCCCTGTAACAGACCACTTTAGGCTTTGACCTCCAAGTGTGACCTTGACCTTTGAGACAGAGGTCTGGGTGTTGCGTATGACATGTCTTCTTATTATTGTGATCATTTGTCTCAAGTTACCTTTAAAATTCCTTGATTGATGAAAAAGTTATATACCAGACACAAAATATACTCAAGAACAGAAAATGTTAAGCTTTGGCCCCCAAGTGAGACATTGAACTTGAAAGTAGGGTTCCGGGTGTTGGGCATGACACATCATCCCATTATTGTGAACATTTGTGCCATGTATTTGTAAAATTCCTTGATGGATGAGAAAGTTATGAACTGGAAATAAAATATAATCTATAACAGACCATATTAAGCTTTGCCACCAGTATACACTTGAAGGAAATAAGAACTTACATTGTCTACAAATTCACCATATACAAGTTGCTCACACTGCAGGGGACACGGTATCATAACATCCTGTCTGAAAATATAAAAAATTGCTCGAAATTATAATACAACATAACAATGCATGATATATTAATTATAGACAGCTGTACATCTCTGATGGTTTCAATCCTTTCAGTGACTTTGAACAAAACAACACTTCCTCTCCCAGTAACACTGAAAAGCTGTCACATAACATACATAGTGCCTGTGTAATTTAACACACAATTTTTTATTTATTTATTTTATTATTTTTCTTTTATTTTTTTTTTGGGGGGGTGGGGGGGGGGGGGGGATTTTACATTGCAAGAAGCATTTAAAGTTTGAAATGAATACAGTCATGTAGTTTTAAGAAATAGACTGCAAAATATGTATTTCAGAGAAACTTTCTTTTTTAAATAGTTTAACTACTTCGACAGTGAACAAGTATTTTAAAGTATTTGATGGTTTTTTTTTTTTGCAAAAATGTATCTTAAAGCTGCCTCTACACTAAACATTAATATGATCAGTTGTTAACAAATGCATGTAGTTGTAGTATTTCTCTTCAAATGGATTAATTACAACACATTCCACTCCTACAGAGAAATATTATATTGCTTCATTTATAAATGGTTGCTTAGTAACCATAGGCAGAAATAATCATCAAATTCAAAATTATTCTACAATTCAAGTTTTTATTGCTTTATTTCCTTGTATACACTTTGGGAAAAGCTTTCCTGTATCATGTAAAACATTTGACAATGTTTAACAGTCTATTTTTTTTTCTAAGCACACTGCCCTGAAATGTTTTTTTTTTATAAAAACTGACATTTCTAAAGTTTTAATCATGTTGTTACAGGAGTTCCTTTAATGAAAAATTACACCAAATTTACCAAGTTTCTTTGTTAAACATTATATTGCATAGAATCTTTTTTGATATTAAGGTCATCTGAGCATGTAGTGCTAAAGGATGAGCTATATTATGATAAGTTGACTGTATCACATCCCTTGACTTGTACATCTCCAACATTTTTAAATATTATTAATACTCTATGTCAAAATTTCCTTGGGCTATGTAAGTTATTTATCGTTCAATCATAAATCATAAAATTGAAAGGAATTATGCCAAAATGTAAACTTACTTTGACTTTCTCATATTAAGCACTCACTATATAACCTTGGATATGCACTATGTCACTGGGGACAATATTTTGATCAAATCTTCATAAAACTAGCTCAGGTGAAAATGTCTGCCTTGTCAACTTACAATAATAAAGTTTGAATATAGGGGTCAAAAAGCAAGTAACCAAAAAATATCAATGAAAAACCAACATGACTGAATCTTTAGCAATTTTAGTATGAATGTTCGTCACATTTATATTTTGATCAAGTTTGAACAAGGTATCTAGGGTCAAAAACTATGTCAAGTCAAATCAAAGAAAACCGTGTTCTATTCTCAACAATTTTTGTTTTTCAAGTTTTAATGGGATTATGTCACCAGTTTAAATACCTGTAAAATACATTATCAGCATTATTGGACAAATTTTATCATCGGGTATCATTATCTATGTTAGGTGAGAGATGCCAAAGAATCTAGCCTTTAAAGACCTTAACACTGAATTCAGGTGAGCATGGTTGCCCACCATTGAAAAAATGTGCACACTTGTGATTGGCAATTCTTAAACCTAAATATTCAATTAGCTTAATTGGATATTTCCATTCTGCAAAACCATAATTCTTGTAACTGTGAAGATAAAATGATCAATATAATAAGTTACAGAAGATAAATCTTCATGGTGCAATATCAAAGTAATTGCAAAATCTTGTAATAGAGAATTTTCAGCCAATCAATCAGCATAATATTTTTTCCATTTGCTACAAGGTCAAATTTTTCTTTAAAAAATCAAAATCTAAAATTGTGTTTGAATTGCTCAAGAATATACAGGACATGTGGGTAACACCATGTAGGTAACACTGATTTTTGAAAATTCTACTTAAGATTTAGATTAACTTAGAAATAATAGAACCAAAGAAATCAGTAAAGATTTCACAAAATTATCAGTCATTAACCTTATCCTATACTATGACTTATATATTATGAAAACCATCATACCTTAAAAACTTTGGTACAGCATCTACCATATAGTGCTCTGTGTTATTATATATTTTCACAAAATCTTTGAAAGACATGGAGTCCATTCTCTGTTGTCTGCTTTCTTTCTTCCTAGTTTCAACGGAAACTGTGTTACCACTAGGCTCATCTTGAGCAAGAAAATAATCATCTGTCCATTTATCAAAGGCAGGGGACATCTTTGCTACACCTTTCATTATCACAGGTTTTGAGGCTTGTACATAATTTTCAAAGAATTCTTTAGCAGTTGGGAAATAGTCTATCTGTTTGACAGGATGACTGGGCCGACCTTCACCGAACGGTTTAAGGTGACCAGGCTCTGTTGTTATATCATTCCCATGTGCTAGTACAATCAGCAATATGCTGTATATCAGTATCTGTGGTAACTGCATTCTCTTTGGTATCAACATCTGTATATATCTGTGAAAAGATATAAACATATTGTAGCTTTATTATAATATTAGATACAAAGCTAAAAATTTAACGCTAGCTACCATATGGTAGACTCAATTAATGAGGATACTCCTGACTGAGTCAATATATGATGGCCACCTTGGCCTATCCCTACAGGTAAATGTGCATCCTGAACCAATAGGTCATGAATGACTTGAAATTAAACCAAAACATGAAAAAATATCATATTTTATACCGGGTATATTAATTTATGCTACACTCAATTTGTATACTAATTGTGACCATACGAAACTATAAAGAACAATATAATGAATCCATCCAGCTAAAAAAATGTACTTACATGCGTAAATCAAAGATTTTAAAACTCTTTAGAGTTCAATTAAACATGAAAATACACTTTATGTTGAAAACAAAAGTTCAGCTTAATAATCCATAAACTAATAGTAAATTGTTTTAGCCCCTTAAGGCTGTATACAACCAAAAAATCAGTGATCTGTGCGCCTCTTTATAATCTGATTGTGATGGCTGAATAAGCATTCCTCAAATAAAACAATATTAACTCTTGCAAACATAATATTTTTCAATAAAAAAAGACCAACGTTTTCATGTTATTGTGCCGAGGACGGTAGTTTGTTAAAACCAATGATAAGCCTCAAAGTGATCTATAGATATTCTTTTCCTGGTTCCTGGTCAAGACAGTATTTAAATTCTTTAAATCTATTATATCATTGTCAATATTGTAATACATCCAACCTTACTAGATACACTTCATTAAATAACTGAAAGATTTATATACCACATTGAAAATAAATAAAGAAATAAATTCAAAAAAGAAATTTACATCAATTTTAATCTTTAAAATGTCATCACTATAAAAGTCTTTTATCTTCAAAACAGGAAATTACTTAACTACTAGTACTATTTTCACATTTCAGACTTTAGTATTTTTCTTTCTCACCACTGTGTTTATAGCTTTAGTGTACATTCTTTTCTTGCATAAACTATCACTGAGAAATTACATGATTTCAATCTGGTGTTGTTTTTTATACAGGTCATTCTTCTTTAAATTGATCTTCTGGAGAATTTACCTCTTTCAACTGACAAGGTTTAAATATTATTTTGTTTCAATGAATCAAAATGTCTCCCCCCCCCCACCTCCCAACTTTTAAACATATATGTATTTTATCACGCATTAAATAGTTTTACTATATCAACCTGCATGTTATACACATGTTTTATTATTTCTAAAGGTCTTATCAGTTTATTACATTTAATATATACCACGGGTCCATGAATTTTTCCAACTTTAAAAATACACAAGGAACATCGCAATGCGATGCAACCAGGTTTTCAGCAAAATATTTCACAGAAGCTTTGTCATGAAGGGGCATTTGTTTTTAATTGAACTTTTAGGAGGAATTATGGCTTTTTTAATATTCCTCAAACAAAAAAATGATTGAGAAATTTTTATGTTGTCTATTCGCCTTTTTTCCCAAATGTTTTTAGAAAGGTAAACAGTACTTTATTTTGTTTAATTTTTACATTTTTGCGTCTCTTGTCATTTTCTTTTGTCAACAATATTGGCGTGTGGTGTTTTGTGCGATATCAAGAAAAGTATGATCACAATTTTAAAACAAGATTGCATTTGAGAAAAATGCTATGCCACCGCATTAATACCTAAGCTCTAGGCCCTTTGGGTCTTACAAGAAGGTATTTTAAGTTTTTGAAGCCTTGTACCTTCAGACAATAAGATTTTTTATATTTTTTACTATATGTACATATTGAAAATCAATGACCCCGGGGAGGGGGCAATTTTGACCCCAGGGCTATAATTTGATCAATCTTGCTAGAGGTTCACTACACAATGTTTCATGCAAAATATCTAACCTCTAGCATTTGTCAATTGCTAGAAGAAATTTTTTTAAAGTTTTTACTAAAAGTTTTTACTATATACATATAAGGAAAACCAATGACCCCCGGGGCGGGGCCGATTTTCACCCCAGGGCTTTAATTAGAACAAGGGCTAAAATTTGAACAATCTGGGTAGAGGTCTACCACACAATGCCTTAATTATGCAAAATATCTAAGCTCTAGGCCTTTTGGGTCGTAAATTTACAAGAATGTATTTTAAGTTTTTACTATATGTATGTATAGTGAAAATCAATGACCCCCGGGGCGGGGCCGATTTTGACCCCAGGGCTATAATTTGAACAATCTTGGTAGAGGTCTACCAGACAATGCCTTATGCAAAATATCTAAGCTCTAGGCTATTTGGGTCTTTACAAGAAGGTATTTTAAGTTTTTACTATATGTACAAAATATCTAAGCTCTAGGCCTTTTGGGTCTTTACAAGAATGTATTTTAAGTTTTTACTATATGTATATATAGTGAAAATCAATGACCCCCGGGGCAGGGCCGATTTTGACCCCAGGGCTATAATTTGAACAATCTTGGTAGAGGTCTACCAGACGATGCCTTATGCAAAATATCTAAGCTCTAGGCCTTTTGGGTCTTTACAAGAAGATTTTTTAAATTTATTCTTATAATTCCTTTTGGTTGCCATGGCAACCAGATTTCTGCATGGAATGAAATTCTTTGAACAACTTTGGAAGCCCTTCACTCAATGATCAATCCTGCCAAGTTTGGTTGAAATTGGACTAGTGGTTTTTCACAAGAAGATTTTTTAAGTTCACTATATAAATCTATATAACACACAAACGAACAAACACACACACACACAGGTGAATTGCTATATGCCACCGCATCGGCAGATGCTGCGGTGGCATAAAAATACTTGAATGATGTCTTGGAAGAAACATGGGAATTTAGTGAGCGCCAGGGCACTTGATGACAAAGCTTCTGTGAAAGTTTTGGTCAAAAATCCATTGAGAAATGTAGGAGAAGTTGCGCACTGTAGAAATTGTTCACTTTATATATTCTGTATAAGGAAAAAAATATACAAAGGGCCATAATTCGGTCAAATATTATCCAATCACAAAAACCCCGACAATATGTGCCAGGCACTTGAAAACAAAGCTTCTAAGAAAGTTTGGTCAAAATCCGTTGAGAAATGTAGGAGGAGTTGAGCACAGAAGAAATTGTTCTCTATATATTCTGTATAAGGAAAAAATATACAAAGGGCCATAATTCGGTCAAATATTATCCAATCACAAAACCCTACAATATGTGCCAGGCACTTGATAACAAAGCTTCTAAGAAAAGTTTGGTCAAAATCCGTTGAGAAATGTAGGAGGAGTTGCGCACAGAAGAAATTGTTCACTATATATTTTATTTAAGGAAAAAAAACAAAAGGGCCATAATTAGGTCAAATATTATCTAATCGCAAAACCCCGACAATATGCGCCAGGGCACTTGATGACAAAGCTTCTGTGAAAGTTTGGTCAAAATCCGTTGAGAAAATGTAGGAGGAGTTGCGCACAGAGAAGAAATTGTTCACTATATATTCTATATAAGAAAAAAAACAAAGGGCCATAATTAGGTCAAATATATACCAATCGCAAAACCCTGGCAATATGTGTCATGGCACTTGATGACAAAGCTTCTGAGAAAGTTTGGTCAAAAATCCGTTGAGAAATGTAGGAGGAGTTGCGCACAGAAGAAATTGTTCACTATATATTTTATATAAGGAAAAAAAAACAAAAGGGCCATAATTAGGTCAAATATTATCTAATCGCAAAACCTCGACAATATGCGCCAGGGCACTTGATGACAAAGCTTCTGTGAAAGTTTGGTCAAAATCCGTTGAGAAATGTAGGAGGAGTTGCGCACAGAAGAAATTGTTTACGCCCGCCCGTCCGGCGGCCCGCCGACATACCTCAATCTAATAACCAGTTTTTTCCTTCGGAAAACCTGGTTAAAAACTTAATATACAAAATTCTGTACATAAGGTATTATAATTATACAGTATGTAATGAAATAAGAAATAAAAATTCTAACTTAGACCTGCTGAAAATAATGAGTTAACCATTTTCCTTTAACTTTGTGAAAATATATAAATGTATTTATTTTACCTTCAATTAAAACTATCTTGGTGTACCATTAAGGAAGTCAAAAAGTGTGCAACAAACATTGAAGAATAAAAAAATGCTTTTTAGATTATATCCTTTTACATTTAACACTCGATGGTGAATGTTAAAATTTAATTATTGATCATTTTCAATACATGATTAATATATTATTTAATATTCATGTAGTACACTTTGTAGTCAATTTACCACTTAGTATTTGAACTAAATTATTACCAAATTATGGTAAATATAATGCAAACATTATAAGAATGACATTTTACAGTTTTATTTACATGTATCATTACAGCAGTCCTCTGTAATAACTCCTTAATTGATTGTTATACAAACAAGTGCCATGCACACTAAAATATCAATATAGTAGACTTTCCAAAAATAATATTACTACTTGTTGTTGCCACATAATATTCAAAATAATAAACGTTTCCTTTTCTCAAACAGGCAGACTAAGAAGTTATATGTCATTGTAAGGAAAGCCTTCGCTTTTGAATTTACCTAGTATAACATGCTCTTTTCACTAAAAACAAACAAAGACAGTCAATAAAAGCTGAAAACATTTGACTATTCTTATAACTGGGAAGTGGAATAAGAAACCACCTTTGATTATCCAGAATCGAAATGTCAAAATCAATGACAACTAGAAATAAGTGTGCATTTCATAAATAAATATTTCATTTTTCAAAGCATTGTCTCAAAAGGTTAGATGAAACAAGAAAGGACTTATACGTAAATAAAAGGGTTTATTCTTTGGAAAATTCCATATCATCTTCCTCTAAAGTTTTTGATTTTGAAATAAGAAAATGTTGAGTATGGTCCCCACATGTGGCTGTTACACAGAATTTTAGATAAAAATATATTGGAAGATTAAAACCATAATTATTATGGTTTTAATCTTCCAACATATTTTATTAAACCCAACAAGGCTTTGCTTTGAAACCTCTTACTTTTTGATGTCCATCACCTGCACTTATTAAAGCACCCATTAGAAGATGTTTCATGCTAAACATCTAAGGTCTAGCTGGTTAAGTTTTTTTTTTTACACATATAGTTAAAAACAATGACACACCTGGGGCAGGGCCAGTTTTGACTCGAGGGCTTTTATTTGAACAATCTTTGTAGACACTTACTAGAAAATGTTTCATGCTTAATATCTAAACTCCAGCTATTCAAGTTTTTACAAAGAAGATTTTTAAGTTTTTGCTATACACATATAAGGAAAATCAATGTCCCCTGGGGCGGGGCCAATTTTGACCCCAGGGCTTTTATTTGAACAAACTTTGTAGACACTCACTAGAAGACGCTTCGTGCTTAATATCTAAACTGTAGCTATTTAAGTTTTTTCAAAGAAGATTTTTAAAGTTTTTGTTATACACATATAAGG